GACTCCAACATGATCGAAATACACAATTTCCCCGCACCAAAAAGAAATTGCTAAATTAGCACCAACCGTCCATGACTTGGTTTTGCATTGGATGCTGTTGTGTTGAACCAAAAATTGTACCACAAATCATATCCAGTTTATGGAGGGAAAATATGAGAATAATGTTTTTGCTATACAACCAGAAGTGAGAGTGAGCATGATTTACAGTAGAATTAGCCAAATAACATGATAATAATAATAATATGTCTCTGATATATCCTCAAACGCCCTCATGGACTTTCCATCTGCTTGACTTCAGAAGTTTACCAATTTAAACCATCCGTCTATTTATTTGTCATGTTTTTATAATCATGTATATATCTCATATATTGTGCAAGACAACCTATAGGCGGAATGCTTGCATTCTTCTCATTGACTATAACTTCTCCGTGATTAGGTTGAGGTCATGACTAATTACGTGTATCTGAGCTTTTATAGAACCATTTGAGTTTGTTCGATCATTTGTTTACAGAAAGGCCAACTACAGAAAAATCGAGGAATTGATGAGCTCAACAATAGAAAAGGAAGAGAATAGAAAGCATTCCACTTCAAACGTTAGTGTAGCACTGCTTGTGGACATTTGACATTATTCCATCCCAACGTGTTAAGACTATCCAAGATCTGGAGATACTTGTGCATTTACTTTACAGAACTAGACATCGGATCAAGCGTTGTGATGAATTTAGTGGGGAATCTCGTGGAAGTGTGCTGGCCACACTTTCACGAGATGAGAAACCGAAATTCCAACTGGTGTTGAAGAGAGTCATGGACAGTGCTCCACTGTGCCAGTGACGATTTCAATTCATGATCAGTGAAGTTGCTCGGAGGAAGAATTATAACTCTAAAGGCTGAACAGAGCTAGAGCTGAGCTCTGTCCTGATCCAGAGGCACCCACTAAGGCATTTCTTCTCTCCATGAGTCCATGATTCCACGCCGAAGCGAGATTTGCTAGTGGACCTTGAATTGGTCCTCGTAAATCCATTTTCCGATTCTGCGGTGCACAGATCAGACATGCACCGTGCATCTCTAGCAGGATGGACTCCGCCGTATGATCGGCTGGAGCTAAAAATTTGCAACTCTCGGCGGTGGATTGGGCCGGCCACCAAATTGCTGTTCTATGCATGTTCTGAAGCTAGCTTCAGAAGATCTTGCCAGATCAGGTTCTAGCAGTAAGCCTGGAATGGGTTGAATTGCCACAGGAGTTCGTGGGGTTCTGTCTACTGTAGTTAGACTTGCGGTCCAAGGCAACGATTCATAAGGGCTTAGGCAAATTCTCAAGGGTCCACAGATAATGATCCGACATTATGCTTGTAACTAAGTTGCATATGGCTTTGAGAAAATTCGTATTCTGAAGTTCAGGTCAGTCGGTTAGGAAAATGTTGACACACATTTTCTCGTCCATTTTCATCTTCGTTTATGACCATGCGTGGAAGTGTAAGGAGGTATCTTTGTGGCTTACGACCACAGTCTGTAGACTGTGGTCGTAAGCCACACTGTTGTAAGAACACGGATTGGTACTGTCCAAAGCGTAGATCCTTTCTATGAAGGCTCATCCATTTGGAATCAAAATGTGAGTCAGGAGTATGAACCTATGGAAAGAACAGCGAGCATGTGATATAATATTTTGGGTGGATAAAAAGTTTGCATCCGTGGCAATCACAATGAAAGAATATAGTTCAATGCCAAACCCCTCAACACATCACTATGGATGACTCGTGGGCTAACGAGAGACATTAACAAATCCATGTTGGTAATCCTCAATTGCATTCACTAGAAGTTGTTTTGAAATAAGAATTGGTTATGAGTTGTAATGCAGCAATAATATGTAGTTGGATGTTTCTGTTGAGACCTAATTTTTAAAGGTATGAGCGAATTAAGTGGCCGGTAAGCTGCAGTTTCAAGTTCAATGTGCTGCGAGGTATGAAGTCCTCATGAGTCCTCAAAACGATGTCGACCCCATATGGAACACCACCTTAAGAAGTGTTCACTCCATGTGATACACATCTCTGAATGTGTGATTGTAGATCAATCCATATGGTAGATTGACAATGTGAAGGTTTTATCTCATAAAATTAGCCCTAAAAAGTGTTGTTTTCCAGTATGTTTCTTGATCAAACGATTGGAATTAATATACAAGATTGACAGCATCACCATTTTGTACATATGATATTGTATCAATTTGTTTAGTATCATGCAGTAGTTAAATGAAAGTCAACTGGTGCTCTAGTGACTGCAAGTCTTTTCCTCTCTGTGAGCCACGCTATCTCTTTGCTCACATGCAAAAATAATCAAATACCTGATACGTTCATCGGATTGTACTTTTTTATTATTCCGGAGCCTCAACATTCAAACCGGTCCTCTCCTTGCTCTACAGAGCATTAGACAAAATTTGGAGTCACGAATTCATATAATATTTTAGAACTGAAAGGCCAGCACAAATTTAGTCGACCTACGTGTCTAAAATGTATTATGTGTTACCAGATTATCGCATTGATTTATGCCTTAATCCATAGTTTCATAGGTCTTGGATGAGATACATACGTATTGTGTAAGTAGTTATTTATACAAATATCTAAAAAACGGAAATCTAAAGTACTCGAAACAAACATTCATTCGGTCCATTTTTTTCTCGGCAAGGTTCACAATATTGCAAGTTCGAGCATGCTCTGCACATCAAATTCCTGTTAGTCCACTTACTTTGCCAATGCTCGTTCACAACGCGAAATTGGGATGAAATCTGACATTTGGATTTGTAGCGATGGGTGAGTGAGATGATCGCATACATTTGGGAGTATTGTCGCACTAGCCAGTCTGAATGAAGTAAGAAATGTGCTTTGTAGCGTTTCACTATGAAGACTCGAACAACTCCCACAAGATCATGAAAGAGGTTTGCATACCACCAGTCAAATTTCTCAGTTTGCAATCACTGATTACTAGAAGGCCACACCAACAAAAAAAAAAGGAAAACGCTTCACTCCAAAGCCTCTTTGTATGCTGATTGCATCAACCACCTGCACGTGCAGATCGAGATAATATACCAGCATCAAGCGGATGCTGTGACGGTAGAATGTCAGGTCATAAGTCAGTTTTGAGAGAAGAGTGTTTGATTGATGAATGAACTGATCGTCGTCATGGTAATGCTCATGAGTACGGGTAGTAGCATTCGGTATGGTGATCTCCAACAACAACGGATACGTGTAGGGGGGCCAAAGAGGGGGATAGTTTATGCGGTGAGTACCAAAGAACACGGGGGTGGAACTAGTACCAGAAGTCAAACGAAAGGGACAAGAGTAGCTGCTTTTGGCATGTCTCGTTCTAACACTTGGCCAAGATCTCTGGAAAGTAATGGTAGGGGTAAGGGCAAGGGCTATGGGATTGGGACCACCTGAGAACCAACATCATTTTTGGATTAACGTTGCTTGGAAGCTTAGTGAACCGCACTTGGAAGTCATGGATATGGGGACCACCGAAGGATAGTCCCCATATAAGCCTTGGAACATAGAAGGAAGGAAGAAAAAGTCATCAACCTCCTCTCGTCTCCTCATTCCGAGAGCCGCAGACAAGCACAAAATTCGTGAATATGAGTGGGGTTATGTTCCAACCATAAGCATAACATTGCCTTTGAAAGCATGGAAGCATGCTGAATTCAAAGTCAACCCTACTACAATACGTTGGACTTTGACTCCGGGACCCAATAGTATTAAATATCCAACTAACTCTTGCAGCATCTTGAAGGACGGATTTGACTGACCGTAACACCAGTACCCTACTCTACGACACACACACTCACTCACATACACTTATTTGAATGTAGCCAACTTCCCAAGAAGCCTGCGTCTCTTGCTCCACCACTGTGCAGCAGCTGGCGACTCGTCGAGGAGCCTGGAGGGTCCTGGCCCCATTGTATGGAAGATAGATAGATAGATAGATAGATAGAGAGACAGAAACAAGATGCTGAGCAATTGACTATGGTGAAGTAGACTACGTGAGATTCTATTCTATATTCTTGCCAGAAAGGTCTCCGGCATCGACATGATACAGCTGCAAGAATATGAATGTCGGTCGGTGTGTGCCGAGCTGCAAATCATTTGTTTCTTTGGGTCGGTTTACATCAAGCGAGCCTGCCTGCTGGCTTGGAAGGTTGGGCTCACCGACATGTTATCCAAGGGGAGGCAAAGAGTGTGAATGAGTGAGCGAGCGAGGGCCCTGAGGGGTAAAACTGAGCTGAGCTGAGCTGCTTTAAAAGCTGACACAGAAATCTGCACCATCAGATAGTTCCAAGATCTGAAGTTGGAAACTATATACAGTGGTTATGAGAGTGAAAACGAAACTGGCCGTGGTGAACAAATTACCAACCAGTACTGATTTGACTGACTCGCTGCCGGCCTGCCTGCCTGCCTGCCTGTCAGACTGTCCACGGTGCTACGGTAATGCAGACAGTAGCTGATGAGCGTAAGTGAGCTTAGGCAGCAGAGCTGAGGTCGTGACTCGTGAGAGGAAAGAGAGGAAGCCGTCGACGTGAAGAAGGAAGAGAAGAGGATCAAGAGGTAATGGAGGTTAGGGGAGATGACAGCAGTTACGGCACAAAAAGAAAAACAGTGCGGAGAGCAAGGGGAGGACCCAAAAGTTCTGCCTGCCGGCTGGGGGTCCTACCTGGGTTAGAGGCGGAAGTCCAGAGCAGCCAGGCAAACGGACAAGGCGCATGCAGTTGCATTGCATGTATGCGATCAAGTGTGGGAGATGCTCACAAAAGGGCAGGACTTGAGGAGAAGCATATTATGCACTGGTGCAGTTTAGACTTAGGAAAGAAGACAGTGATGGGTGACAAAAGTGATGGATGAGTGCAGACCCCACCATGGCCAGCAGCAGCAGCAGCTGCTGCCTCGACGATTTTGCAGTCCTCTGGCTGCTGCTGCTGCTCCTACTGGCCGTTCAGCCTGCCCTGCTGCTCCTGCTGCTGCTGGCTGCTTGCTTCGATGTTGCAGCCGCGAACTCATGTGTCTCCATGCTTGTGAAAAAGTTTAATATAGGACCGCTTGTGTGTGGGCTGGCTCGCTGGCTAGACGCCTGGAGGCTGCCTACAGCCGACTGATTGAGAACAAGATCCAGATAAGCTTGTGTGCTGGGTTGGGCAGCAGCAGGAGTGCTGCATGTACAAGTTGGCGATTCAGATTAGGTGAGCTGAGGTGACACTAGTGACTTTGAACCCGAATTTCACAATGTTGTGCGGTAACTGCGATTGCTGCAGGAGCAAGTGTGCACGTAGACCCACCCGCAGGTATGCATGTTTCTCTCTCTCCCTCGATCGCCTCTCTCTCTCTCTCTTCTCTTTCCAAAGCCCTTCCATCCATCCATTCTTCCTTCCTTCCTTTCTATTTGTCTGTCTGTCTCTCTTTTGAAAGCATAGCAAAGAGAGAGAGAGAGAGAGAGAGAGAGAGAGAGAGTTAGTGAGCTGTAATCATAACGATGGGTGGAAAGGCTTCGACTCGCTGGCCTGGGCAAGGTTCGTACTCGGACATTCTCTCGATTCGGAATCTGCTTCTGAATTGAATCAATTTCTACAGCCAAATGATGATGATGATATGTCCGGTAACTCTCGAGCTCGAGTAGCTAGCTGCATCCATGTGTACCGATCTAGACCACCAAAAGCTTCACTGAATTATAATAGCTTCTTCAGTGCACAGCTTAGATTCATAGCTTGCTAGAATCTCTCTCTCTCTCTCTCTCTCTCTCTCTCTCTCATAGCTAGAGCTCGCTCATGAACGAACATCAGGCAAGTTTTCAATATCAATATGGTTGCCACGTCTATGCCAATTTTAGACGTGAGATTTCCATCCAGAAGGCATGTCGCATCACTTTGAGTCGAATTAGGCAGCGCTAGCTGTGCACGGAAGATTGCAACGCTTAGCTTAGGCGCTGTGTGACTGAACGATCAGACACGAACAAAGTCGATTTGGATCGCTGTCCACGTCATGGATGATGAAGTTGGAACTGCAATTTGCAACGCATGGCGGGCGGAGAGGGAGGGGTTGTGACAGCTGCGCGTTCTTCATGTGCTTGCTCTTTTGTACGCATGCTGAGAAGATAGCTGCAGACTGTACGAGCATTAAAGGTACAGATGGCTGCGCTGCCGAGACATCACATCTGATGTTTCTTTGCATCTCTTCGCATCTAGCTAGCTACCTTGCTTAATCCAATCCAATTCTTCATGATCGCGAATGCCAATGGCGAGGCCAACAAATGGCGTGCATTCATTCACCTCGAGGAAGTTCTATAAAATAGTACTTCACAGCACGAAATTCCCTTCCTTGCCTCTCAAATAGTGTGTACACCGAGATCAGGTGCAGAAAGAAGGACCTGAAAGCAAAAGTGAGGTGACAAGATACTAGAAACGCCGAGAGCTCGAGTACAATGAGAAGAGAGGTACGAGTATCGAGGAGAGCTGAGCTGAGCTGAGCTGAGCCTGGCCAGTAAGCCTGAAGGTCGTGATAACTAGCTAATTAACGATGTATATCATGACGCCTAGAGATGACATCTCCACGTGAACGCAGTCTCTCCCTCTCTCCATATGGATTTTAGAGGATTAGGGGTCGGACGGTGGCTAGCCTCTAACAAGACCACAGTTTGCGTAATTGGTAGCCTATGAAATTTGTCAAGATGCTTGCAAGTGCTTTCAGCTCGCTCATGATCAATTACAACAAATAGGATCATGTTTTGTGGGGCCGGCAACTGGCTGGCTGGCCTGGCGAGAAGTGGTATACAGTGGTGTGTGAGCTTGTGAGACTTGGATCGATGACTTAATCTCAACTCAACAACCGACCTGGCTGCTGCAGTTTACGACAAGTTGATGCAACGAGAGAACGCGACAGGAGAGGCATGATTGCCACAGCGTTTGGTCTGTACACTGGAATCTGCTCATACGGTTGAGGAGCTTAACATACAGTTTTTCTGGAAGCGCTTGTAAGGCTAGCATATATTCCCAATTCTCTTTTACCCGGTTCCGATTCTGTTCGGTTCGATTTAGTCCAGTTTGCAATTGGTTCGATTTCAGGTGCAGATGCAGATGATTCATGATCCGATACGACACGACATGATCGGATAAGCAGCGACTAATGGTTACCTACCAACCAACCAACCAACCAACCAGCCAGACAGACAGACAGATAGACAGACAGACGGACAATGTCAACCAATGGTTGGATGGTAGGCTGGCTATCTGGCTGGCCTGTGCTGAGTTCAGTTCAGTTCAGCTGATCTGTATGACCCATGATATCCTGATTTCACTTCGCGTGAGCTGATTGATCAAATCATTCATTCATTAGTTAGTTTTACCATCTTACCGTTAATGATTGATTGGTTTCTGTGTATGTCGATCAACAATAAAGAGACTCACCCGAAGTGTTGTAGGAGGTCGATGCTTCTCCACTTACACTTGCTCACTTATCGACATCACACTTCAAATGTCAGGCATTGTCAATCAGTCTTACAGTTTGTTTTGCTTCGTGGTTCCGTCGATCGATCTATCTCAGTTCTAATTCACTATCTCAATCAATCTTCTGCATTTCCTTGATCACAAGGTCACGCTCTCACATCAAGTCTCTTGGGGTGAGCTCTCTCTCTCTCTCTCTCTCTCTCTCTCTGCTAAATGTACACAACTTGTAGCAAGAGCACTCTTGACTTTGGTGCATGTGCATGCCGTTCTCAGTCAAGTCTCGAGGGTATATGAATGCAATTCAAAATTGATGACATGGCCAGGGAACCTCCTAAGGTCAGGTGCTACTGGGTTGTGGAAGGTATGCCACGGGCCTCTTTGACAATGCGAGGAGATGAGGAAGCGATGCCGGTCGCTAGTCAGTGCAGTCTGTGCAGTCCTTGCAAGGGTCGAATTCCTTTCAGACTGACATTCAATTTGTCATTAAATTCTGCATTTCCATGGCAATGTAGAACTGGCATGAAGTGTCTCAATTGCAATGGCTGATGGATGATGGATGGCTCGAGCTCTGTCGAACGTACACCGGGTACTACTAGCTTGTAATAAGTGTGCGATAAGCATCGTCGAACTTTTGGCAGAAGCGAGCAGTGTCGTATGGCATGTCATGGCTCCAGCTTTTGTGACTCCAAGTACTCGGACAATCATAACTCACTAAATCATTCATCATAGGTCATGCTGAAACGAAAGGACTCCCAACAATTATGAATCATGATCATCCGACAATACAGCGGATTCCAGTACTTAAAACTCATTCCTAGATCTTTGGATTCGTTTGCATTATTCCTGATGTCAGCCCCCCCCCTTCCATCCATCACCATGCCAGCCCAGCCCAGCTCTGCCCTTCCTCTCCCCTCCCCTCATGGTGACTCTCTCTCTCTCTCTCTCTCTCTCTCTCTCTCATATACACACACACACACACAGAGAGGCGCACACAAATCTTATTCACCGAATGATGGGGCATCGAGAGGATAGGCTCCGCTACAAAGACATTGTCTACTTCTACAGCAGGAGGAAACATGTAGCTGGTTGGCAGGTTGGCTGGCAGGCAGGCACGCAGGCAGGCAGATGTGTTCGTATATACGGAGCAGGGCCGGGAGCAGATTTCGATCCACGGTGTGTGCATATGCTGCGTGACAGTACTAGTGCTCAGTGCTGGCCCTGCCAAGCCAAGCCTTGACATGTGTGAGCTCGAGGTGAGTTCACTCGTTTCATATCAAGAGGAAATGGTCGGTCCGGCCGGGACGCGAAGAAATTTTCGGATGTGACTTTCCTTGCATTTAATGAATGATTGCAATGAATGACTGAATTCGTTCTGATATCCCATAGCTATTTCTTCGACAGCATAATCAGTAAAGGGGGCGAGCTCATCTGCCCAATTTTAGTCCGCGCTCATTTCTCGCTATGGATATGACGAAATTATTGAAGCCAGCAAGGCCTATCTTCATCTCGGGATGAGCGGGAACGGACAGTATTATTCTCCATCTCCGCTTTCATTTCCGTATTCACGTTCGCAGGAGAGTAACGCAGCCGGAATATGCAGCGAATCGAGCTCGAGCTATTAGCATGGTACTATTGAGAATGCGAGCCATGCCGACTGCATAGTGCCAAACGCTGTGTGCCAGAATGTGAATACACGATCGAGAAAGACGAATTCCAAACAGCAGATCCGGTTGGTGACAAATAGCCGCGATGAAGGAAAAGACAAATGGCAAAAGAAGAAGAAGAAGAAGAAAAAAGGTGGATTTATGAATGTACATTCAAATTGGAAAAGCCCGGAGCCTCTTGTGGTTGCTGCAAGAAGAAGATACAAGAGCAGATTGCTCTGAGAGCTCGACCAGCGCAAACACATGTATCCATGTAACGTGTACAGAGACGAAAAGCAGCAGCAGCAGCTGCTGCTGCTGCTGTCATGAGTTCACTCGGAATATGTGCGCTTTTCGAGACTTGCAGAGAGTCTCTCTCCCTCAGCAGCGGCATATACGTCGGATGGGATCAGCAAATCGCAAGAATTTTATGGTATGACAAAAGAATGGTAAAATAATCGTGTTCGGAAGGAAGCCTTTTTGTATCCGACCGAGTATTTGACTGATTCATGATTCACATATATCGATAGAATGAAATAGCAGCAGCAGCAGCCTGACCGCTAGCCACCATCACCACCTGCTCCTGCTCGGCATCATGTGCAGAGAGGGAGAGAGAGAGCTCGATCAGCTCCAGGTCTTGTACAAGTGAAAGCGCTCGGAGACCGGGTGATACAAGGAGAAGCCATTCTCCATGACACTCCAGCGGACGTACTTGTACTGGAGCTCGAGATTTCGATTGTCATACATGTCCAGCGTCTTCTTCTTGCCGGACCACTCGAAGGTACAAGAGACTATGTCCGGCGTGAAGACTCTGAGATTCATGTAATAAATCACAGCCTGGCTCGGCTTCACGCTACCGTGGCCCAGAAAATCCAGCGGCTCTCGAGTGCTCGACTCCGCCACGCAATCCACGCTGATCACGCTGTTCGAATCCCCGGCCTCCATATTATTGCTGATGTCCACGAACAGCGATTCGTTGTCGATGGGAAATGGCTGCTCCTGCTGCAGCCGCTGCGCCTCGCCCTCCGGTGCTCCCTCGGGCTCCAACGCTTTGCCGATATATGGCAAACTCGTCGTTGGAGCCGCCAAGCACAGCAGCAGCACCACGACTTCTAATGGGACCCAGATGAACAACAACATGCTGCTGCTGCTTCTACTCCTTTCCTTTACTATCTCCATCTCTCTCCCTCCCTCTCTCTCACTCTCTCACACAAACTCACACACAATTCCACACTCACTACAATCCTATAACACTAGACTGCACTAAATCACAAAGCGTGGGGGTTTGATTTCTCCCCGAGCTAGAAAGTAGCTGATTCCAGTGTACAGCAGCTGTTTCTATGAATCAAATGGTTTTCTGCACCGCTACAAGAGCGTGTCGAAGGACTGCACATTCACTGGAGACGGCATTGAGTGCATTATTGGTTCAGTCGATGAATGGCCGCGACGAAATGTGCGTGTCGAACTCGAACCTGTGAAGATGCGGCTCAATTGATGATTCGTCGGATTGAGCAGATTCACGCAGGGCTAGAAGAAGACATGAATGTTCGACGTCCGAGACGCTAGAATCCCCGGCTTTGAACCATCTTCACGTTGCTGCTGGCCAGCTACAATCTAGAGCAGCAGATCAGCTGAAATCTATCAGTAGCCGATTCCAATATAAAACCGGCTTCTAGCTGCCTTACGTAAGCACTGCACTGGAAGAATCGCAGTGATGCCGAGCTGCCGTCTCTCTCTCTCTCTCTCTCTCCTCCCTCTCGAGTGTGTGGCTAGATCCCGGAAGCAAGGCAAATTCGCAGACGGCTCTGTCCGGAGCGAGGAAATTAGGCTCGAGGGTGCCCTGACTGACTGCGGATAAGGATGCACTCCTCACTTGCTTGCTTGCTGCATCTGATCAATAGCTGGACTCTACAGGTCAGTCCAGGATTTTAAACATGACGATGGATGTACCAGCATTGTCATTCCCAGGAGAGGGGGAGGAGGTGGGCACTTGGAGCTCTTGAGGCACCACCAGGCAGAGGCAGGAGGGGCAGAAGCTCTTTCTAGCCGTATACGTAGTGCTATATATCTATCTGGCCAGGTAAGTCGGCCCTTATACCCTCAGCTCAGCTCAGTACCTTCTGAGCGCCCGAGAGGGAGCTAGATCATTATCTAGATCTATCTGAGTAGGTAGGTCACGGCATATTGCATGAAACGAGCCAGCCAGCCAGCCAGCCCGCTCTCCTCATACTCCCTCTCAGCACGAAAAGAGCTCCAGCTGCGGCTTGCCTGCTTTGTTCCATGCGTACACATTGCAAGAGAATAAGCTCGAGTCTGCGCCTGCTGCTGATAAGACTAGATCTTTCTTCCAATATCCACGCTTTAATGTATATATATACAACTATATAAGAGCAGAGAGTGGTCCGGGATAACCGGACTACAGCATCCTCCATCTCGTCGCCAAAGCCCGTCCTCCATCCCGTCGCTCCACAACGTTTGAGTCATGAGGATAGTCTAGGCTAGCCTAGCCTAGACGGGATGTGGGGTATTTAATAAAATCCAGGAGTTAGCTAATCGGCTCAAATTCTCAAATTAATGCATGCTTTGTCCACTCGACAAGTGTGCCAATGTGGATCCGAAGGCCCCGAGGCTGGAGCTGGAATCAAATCAATATGCCGAGAGGAGTGAATTTGATGTACATGGCGAAAAGCCCGGCTAGCTTTGGTGTGGTTTGGTCCGGTTCAGGAGGATAACGTGGATTGCAGTGTGTGAGGCACAGGCACAGACTGCAGAATATGAGATTTCGTGTTGGGCAGACAGCCCAGCCCGCCCACAAGCGAAACTCATTGTTGATGCTGCTGCTGGAAATAGACCAAGTGCTGGCAGAGCAGTAGCCAAGGACCGGGGACATTTGCCGGTGTGTGGGAGAGTGTCTAACGGTACGTGTGTACCTGAATCGTCTCGGGCCAGGTCTCTTGCCTTGCACTAGCTCTAGGTAAAGTGTTTCTTACCAGTAAGCTGGTACTTGAACCCCACCTTCACGGCAGTTGAATTCTCATGCATGTGTGTACAGTCCTTGGCATGGCCTGGATGTCCGATTGGACGAATATTTTTGCAGACTTGAAATAGTGCAGAATCGGCAGCAGCAGCGGCTGCAGACCAAAGCTAAAGCGAGGCCCGCTGCTGCGCTCATGAAGTTACCCTCCATTACTTCTACGCTAGAATCCAACCGGGGCTTGCCATGGTGTGGTGTGTAGTGCCTTCCAGGCATCTCAGTCGACAGGTTGGTGAACATATATTCAATTCTTCTAGGCACTTGACAGGGCTAAGATCTTCGGCCTAATTTAACTACAATCTAGCTTGGGTGGATCGATTTATAGTAACAACTACAGTCCAGTCCAACCCCTTTCTGCTGCATGTGTACTTGGTATGGCCATGGAAGATCTGGATTTCAAGGTTTTATAATGATTAGGCTCATGAGAGCACACTGTCAGTCGAGGCCTAATCATCAATCTAGTTCCTAGACGACAAAGAGTCACTAGCCGCCTGATGATGAAACAAAGTGACCACTGAGTCCCGATCGCAAGGCAGGTCAGTCGAGTAACCTTGAACCTTCTCACCCTGAACTTTTAAGAAGAAACTGAAAACCAATAAATATAAGTTTCTAGTTTAATCACAGAAGAAAACCACAACACCATCTTGTTTAATGTCCTAGAATATGTTCCAAATACTTGGACACAAAAGATGAGACAAAAGTACCATAATATTTATGTCGCCAAAGTCTCGCTTCTAACCTCGGCCCACTTCTATTTTTTCTCGAAGCACGAACCGACACAGGACAATCTGATAAGACAGGTTATCTCGGGTTCAGCAAAAGGCTGAACACCTAGAATCACTTCAGTTTGAGCCTTGCTATTGTTACACTTGACTTGGGAGTAATTCTACTTCAAGACAAACGAACTTTAACACGGTGGGCCATGTGCAAGTGGTTTTGGCATGTGGAATCATTTGAGTGTTCGAAATTTTCAAATCTCCACATACACGCATTCAGAAAGGGAATTCGTCGAGAATGGTCAAAGTATGGTGATTAGTTCTAGTCCATCAATTTTTACATGACATCATCGAAAACTCCGAGCTTCTGCATCTTCTGACCACAGTGTGCTTCCTTTCCATCTCGAGCCCCTAAAAGCCAATCTCAAGCGGGCTCAGAGTGTTCGTGTCTGATCCAATGAGGAGAAGAGAATGAAGGGTTTGGTTTGATATCGGCTAGCGTTTCAGCCTTCTGAGATTTCCGAATCTAATCTTCACTCGTTCACGTCAAGTTCACATGTTCACTGGAAATCTCTGAAATTTGGACTATACAACCTCTACCTACGAAAGCATTAGACTTTCGAATTTCGCCACAGATGAGCCACGCTCATATTACGCAACGAGACAGCCGACAAGTGCTCCTTTTCACGTCCTAATTTGAGCCCACTTTGCGCAAATCCTTATTGATTAGTCGAAGAAAGTCCAATTAGAGGTTCTTAACAGCAAACCGGTCAATCTGATTCGGACTACTAGTGCTTAAGTCTTCCGCGACCAGCCGATCGAAATCAATACCAATTTTCGCCATGGGAAGGAAGGTTGCTATGGTTGGGGATCTGGCACTCGGACTCCGGCTGGTCAGGCATCGAACTAGCGAGCAACTTGGTTCTGTATCTGAACAACATAGAATTTCAGGCACCCAAGATCCATTGTTGTCGAAAGGTGAAACACTGGGATACACTTCGAGCATCAGCACCAGAGATACATCTCGGCAACGATAAATTTACTGAAGCCACCAGCACCTGTCAACGATAAATTCAAAGCAGCTTGATGTCATGTCCAAGGGTATCGAAGTCGTCATCGTCTCAGATCAGGCTAATGTGGAGCCACATAGAGCATCGCGGTAGCGGTAGCGCTATCTAGATGAAAAGGGCAGAAATGCGTGCATCAAGGCTCGGAGTCCATGAGGGAGGCATTGCTATGAGCCCACTGTCATAGGGCAGAGCTCACTGCAGCTGAATCTAGTGTCGGCTGGATCATTGATGATGTAGAGGGGTTTAATTCTGATCTGCTTCAAAACACCCAACCGTTTTCGTCATGTCTACAGTTGTCGTTAAAAGTCCCTGAGTCTGCTGCCTGGGCTGCCCCTGGAAGAGGCTACCTATGTAGCTGGATAGCTGCCGTCGCAAGCCATGCCATGCCATCCGCTGCATACTACGAGGAGGCAGACCAACCTGGATAGGCAGCCCCGTGACAAGCCATGCCATATGCAGTGACACAATGTTGTGTCTAGTACTGAAGTCACATGTTTGGACAGTTCATGCGATTGACAGATGAAGTGACACTCTTGAATTTGTCCACTGTCCAGCAGAACAGTTTGGATTCAAGGAGTCGTCCATGGCCGAAAGAAAGTACTCTCCTCTCGTGCCCATCATGAGGTCCCCCCCACTCGTATATTCATGTGACTGAGTGGGTGGTTGGCTGTGATGGGACCACTGTACATACATCCACCTCCTTCCCTTGCCAGAGAAAAAGTCAAGAAATCTCGCCAGATTCAAGGTCCTTCACGATTACGTGGATCGCTTTTGCAACTGTGTCTTCACTACGCGACCTCCCTTCCAAGTCCGACGCAGTGCCACTTCCTACGCTCCAAGTGTATGCTCTCGTCCTTCAGGTTCCACCTTTCAGGCCTGTAGACGACGTTGCACTCTGATTCTACCCCAGCCAGCCGAAGCTTACGTAGTCCTCCTGCTCTAGGCTACTGGGTTTCGTATTCTCTCGACACAGCTCAGAGCTGTAAGCGAGACGGAAGGAAGGACGAATGAAGTACTCGATGTATTTTTCCCGCTTACAATCTGGCTCGCTGGCTCGCCGGCTGTGGATGGACAGATTTGTTAGAGAGAGAAATAGAGGGATTGGAAAGAGTACGTACAACTGTAGTGAGTGAGGGAGAGAGAGATCTCAGGACTGGTCACTACTAAAGTCCGTTACTTAGGTTCATGGAAATGGCATCCACTTGGCTTGAGGGGGGAGGGCGGGGTAAGTGAGCAGCCGGCCTGTCACGGCCATTGCGCTTTTCCCTTAATGGCACTGCTCACATACATTGCGAGTGTTCGTTCAGCTCATGCAAGAGAGAGCAGGATTGGACACACCAGACGAGACGAGACGAGACATTATCTCTCTACATCTCGAGACGGCTGTCTAAGGCTCCATCAGCTTTGAGACAGTGGCACTGTTCAGGTATGGGCGGAACTTTCGGTCGGTCGCACATTTTCCCACCTCCTCCTCAGATACACACACACCCGCATTGCGAGACGTATGTCTTTAAAGGCATGTGTCATAATCCACTCCCTTCCCTCGCCTTGGCCATATCATTGTCACCTCGTACATGATGACCTTTCTCTCTCAACATCTTCAGTGAAATGACTTCTGAGATCCTGTGAAACTTCTTTACAGTCCCGAAATCATCCTCCTCGTCGCGTACAGTACTGTCGGCCTTCGGGACGGTAGAATATACCACCGCCACAATTAACACCCATCAGAAAACCATTATCACCCCCTCCTTTTCGCCCCAGGCGAAATAAAAGATGTTTGTCTTGCACGGCGACTGCTCTTCTCTGCTGCTGCTGAGGCTGCTGTGCTCTGTACTCTGTACTCTGTACTGTTCTGTACTGCGCCCGTCCATACTCTGCGCAGACGCCGTACAGTAGAGCGAGTGTGCGAGGGTCGACAGAAGTGTTAGATTTCCATCCGAGGTACGACAGGCGTCATCGTCGTTGGCTGCCCCCTGACTCGTACCGCGTAAGCGACCTACTGCGTTGAGGTGGAGGTGGAGGTGGAGGCCTCAACCTCAACGCAGTGCTGGATGCTTCATCTCAACCTCAATCGGCTTCATCGAGAAGCCGTCGAGAACTCGATGCCGATGACCGCAGTCACTCTCTCAGTCGCTCCATTGATCGATCGAGCCAGCGATCGACAAAGGCCTCGTACTTCGAAGGGCACAGAGGAGGAAGCCAGGAAGGAAGGAAGGAAGGAAGGAAAGGAAAGGTACGGTGACAGATGTCAGCAGACGACCTACTGTGTGGGCAAAGACCTGGAGAGAAAGTATCAATTTCTGTATGTTCGTGCTCCTCGGTATTCACGTCGCTACAACAGAACAGAACAGAGGGGCTATATACTCACAACATACTCATGTCACTGAAGTATCTCCTGTCTGGATACTTATGTGTATTATTATTATTATTATGTGTCTGTCTCACTGACCCATGCTTTTAGGTCGAACTCTTTAAGGCATCCCACCCTCCACCCGAAGCGACGAGAGGGAGGGAAGCAGGCAGGAAGAAAAGAAGCATGGAATGAAATTTGAGGTGAGCTAATCCGGGCCTTCACTCAAATCGGTCCACAACATAGTCATGTTGTTTTGTTGACTAAAATCGTTAAATTCCCAGGCTTAGGGATATAGCTCCACAGGATTCTCATGGCCGCACCGAACAACAGAGTGGATGAGAGAGAGAGGGAGAGAGAGAGAGAAAGACGTCCCACAAGGCGCATCCCAGGGCAGAGGGAAGGATCGGCATGGCATACAGTACGAGTACAGAAATCTGATTCCTTACAAATAAAAGATGATGATGATGATGAGTAAAGGCGACTAGGCACGTGAGACGGCGAAAGCAAAATTGATACGAGACTGACTGTCCACAACATTCTCATGACTAGTGCAGCAGCACCCAGCCTGCTCATGCGGCTGCTGCTTTTGCTTCTTTACTATAAACTTGAATCTCCTGTCTGGCTTTTGTCTGCGGCCCGTCCCTGTCTTTGTATAACATACGTATGTCATGTCGATGTCTTTTATGTTGTAATCATATCCCCGTCGTACCTCCTCGAATTCAGGATTTCTCCCATGTACTGTCCCGCATGACGGCACGCGTGACCTCTCTCATACATGGCCTCAACATTTGATCATTTTTCCTGCCTCCCATCCTATCCTATCCTATCCTCTCGCAATCGTATCGACTCCCCCCTTGTTTCCATCTCAGTACACCTGCTCTCGAATTCCCTCCCTCCCTCCCTCCCTCATACTCCAGCACTCCAGTCATGCTGTACCTCCTCCCGTTTCCTCTCCATTGATCTAGGGCTTGGTTAGGGATTGATCTTTTGGGTCTTTTCCCTTGTTTTCGCTTGTATTGTATTTTTGTATTGTCTTTTACCATTCAGGCACAGAAAAGTTGGATCGCTTCCTCCTTTCCTGCAGCTGCGGCTCGTGATCAATTTGGCAACACATCTCGCTTTCGTAGCTCAGCTCCCTCATCTCTCCAAACTCTCCAAGCCAGGTACATTCTCCCTCTCGTCGTATATGTACTGTATGTATATATATAATAGATACTGCGTATTTTTGTGGCTTTTCCTTATACCCGTGCAGTTTCCTCGACAGATTGCCAATCGGTGTTTTCCTCACACGCATGAACTGCGCAATTAAGAACGTCCAATTACTTCCTATTTCACGAGTTCGTGGTTTTATGAATTTCACGTGCGCACGAGCATTCAAGGTACAGTTTTCGAGCTTCAGCGTTAGGCGGGAGTCCAGTAGGGAATTTACAGTACACATTAATACAATCTAATCTCAATCAGTGCATAGCGTAGACCCTCATTTGAAATAAATATTGCCACTAAAGATGCTCTCAGGTATTTTAAACTTTTTCCCATATGCAATTTTCTAATGTTAAGTAACCTTGTTTAAATTTGTAACAATGTATCCTTATTAAAATGATTAACAATATCTCTCGTCTCATAATATTCATTATGAAATGTGTTTATATCTTAGCGTGGACCGTGAATTTATTTATAGCAGCAAGAATCTCCACATGCTTATCATGCAAAACATTATGTACTTGTTACTATTTCATTTGAGTCATAGTCTACTTGACAAACATGGATAATATATGCAAACTTTCAGATTTCAGTGAGAGTACATTCTAGCTGTTCATGTCTATAAAAGATATTTCATTCGTTTTCAAACATTTTTATCTTATGGTGGAACATGTTACGATAGTAATTCCTGTACTATTCTACCTAGAACTCTAGGGTCAAACTATGTATATCATCAAATCTATAAAGTATATTCATTGATGTGACAAAATATGATCTTGTTGTTTGTATTTTATTTCATTTCAACCGTTTAATACTTTATTTGAATCTCATTTTGGATCTAATCATGATTTCTCATTTAGTTCTTTTTCTTAAGGTTTGATCACATCTTCTGTTATAAAATAGACTGAAGTTTTATTAAGGAGACTTCCAAAATTTTTTTTACAGAATATTTGAAAAACTAAAACTTATTTTGCATCTTCAAGAGATATATTTATAGTTGAAAAAGGATTTGAAAAAAAAATCCATGCATGCATACAATGAGCTATTCTGCTACACATACAATAGTACTAAATTCAAAGAGATTAATTATCTATAAAAATCAACATTATCTTACACAGGTTTCATACAAGCATATAAATAATACATTATCTTATTCAAAAAAAATTTCATCACATTAAAATATCAAATTAACACATAATATTATGTTTAACCTAATTATATCATTGATAAAAAGAACTGAATCTAAAAAACTACAATCTTGATAACAATTTTTTTTAATAATTTTCGATTATACTGAAAATTTGAAATAAATGTCTTATACACAAAATGTGATCAAAAACGAAATTTTTTTAATCGAATTTTATTATTGATAGAACTCAACAGAGGACAAGATCTTTTACAAATGATATATTTATATATGTTCAAAAATAAACATCTTCCAAATTCACGTTATTAGTAGATTTTTTAATAATAGATTATTGTAAAAAAACATTATACATTCCACCTTGGAAATATTTCATTATTATCAATTATTTAAGTAATATTTATAATAAAACTACATATTATATATTATAAAGTGAAATATACAAAATCATGAAGTGGGAACTATATCGTTATACCTATCATGAATCAAAATTTATATATCATTTTGTTGTAAATGTCAATTTTGATATCAATGGCATAAATATTACATACAACTGTAAATCAGATAACTTCGTGTTTCCCAAATAATTTTAATAATCTTTTCAGATTTCTACTAATTGCATTCAATATTTTTCAAAAAAAAATTATTTCATTTTCTCTCATAATTTTATATATAAATATAAATTTATTATCAACCAATGTTGTTGACATTGAAACATCAACCTCCAAATAAATAAATTAATAAAATACATGAAGAAGAAAAACTGTTACAAAGCACAAAATTTTTTAAATGAATAGAATTATTATATAAAATATATGTTAAAATTATAAAATTTGATGAATAAAGTACATCATTTCTTCAAAATTCATATATATGAATAGTGTTCTAATTTTCAAAGAAATACGATGTTATGTTATAAGTATGTATAAATAGATTAATTAACATGTTTACATTTTTTCTGTTGCTAATTCTAAAATTGAAATATCTAAAATCATGTACAATCTGATGTAATCTTCATTCGAAACTTTTGCAGAAATTGCTATCTAGGTGTTGGGAATATGTCTGATTTTAACAGCAAAACAATGGTTCACAAATCAATCAATTGATATAAAAATCAAATCAGAAACTTTCTACATTTCTAAAAAACTTAGGTTTCCATTTTCGAAAGTAAAGAGAAATGGCCCTGCATCAAACCTCTTCATTGTTGACTGTTTATCACATCGGACTTTCTCCTCGTCATCAATCTCAAACATGATCTCGAAAGATTCACAGACGACTGAGGAAGGGTCTTGTTGCTGCGATGTACGAACATACGTTGACAGAATGCGATGGTCCATTACGAGAGACTTGTGGGAATACGTACATGAGAACATACAGAGGGAAGACGGACGGACGGAAGTACGTATGAATGGCCATCGACCGGGTTGCATGTCATGGACTGGGACTGCAGCAGCAGCAGCAGCAGCGGCGTGAAAGGTTGGTTCGCGTTCAGAATTTTGTCAGACTCGTCATTCTTTTCGTTTCTGCGTGCTACCCGTTTCCCTTGGTTTTGTTTCGGGCTTGATTGACTGGTCAGTCTAGAGCGCATGATGCTAATCAGGTTGCTTTTTTTGGCTTAAAACATGCTCTTGCTGCTTTTCGCTAACCTCGAAACGCTTCGAATGATCGTTCGTCGAGGGGCCAACTCTCATCATCGTCCATGTCTCAATCAATTGTTCCCGGAGAGCTTCTTCATTCCCTCTGTACTTCCAGTCTTTATTTTCCTTTCCTCACTTACAGGTCTTAAAAAAAAAAGAAACCCAAATAAGCTTGCGCCAGATCCTTGTCCACAGATACAAATCTACAACCACCAACCAGCGAGGGAAAATACCTGTCTGAAGCAAATAAAGTGGAAATTGACATAATATATCAGTGTATAGTGCATAACAAAATGATTACGGAGCGTGAATGAAAATAATAGCACAAATCGTGTTTCAGTGTGAAGGCATGTTGCTATAGGGAAAAACGTGGCCGGCTGGTGATTAACTTTCTTTTACCTGGAAGAGAAAAAGCTGCTCGACATCATTGTTCGGTATGCAATGGGGGCCCAATCGCAGCTACAAGTGAATGAATAACTCTGATCTGCAGTGCACAAAATGGCAATAAATGGTGAATGATTGGCGATGTTCGGGTTCATGGAAAAGAGAAAGTTGTTCCAATGGGATAAATATATACACGAATTTAAACTATTGGCCTCTGAGTCTGAATTCTAGTGTGGCGGAATATCCACAAGCTTTCCAATATGGCACTGACAGGAAGTTGAAGTTGGCCAACTTCGAAACCACCTCTGGGGAGAAATTACTGACATGCAACAGATGCAAATTTAACCACTATCTTCTATATATACTAACCACGTCAAGTGATACACCACTCGGTACTCTAAATGGAACCTTGTCAGGCATGGGTTTAGGACCGGTTGGACGCACCTTCGGAATTATGTTTGTAAAGCTGACCTTACAAGTGTTGTTGAGCGACTTGGTGGAACATCTCATATGAATATCAAACTCTCTGAGTGGTAATTGTACTGCAAGTCAGTCAGAGGAAACAAGAAAGCCTGAGAACCATGAGAGCAGCCGACTAATAAACTACCAGATTCCAAACATTCATTGGTTTGCAATTTTAGCTATACACAATAAGGAGAACAAAACCTTTCCGTGAGAGTCGAGCAAAAGCCCGTCTCAATGATTAAGATCTTCACGTCATTCTAACAGATAAGATCCTTGTAACGCACCAAGATTAGCTCGTTTAGTACTGTAGTTAATTCATGTGTCATACTTTGTACTGCTATCGAATGATGCACGAAAATCAGTATCATAAGTTTCCTACCACAAGCCATGTTTATTATGATGGGTTTCTTTTGCAGGCATGACATGAATATGAAGAGCAGTTTGGTTTCAGCTTCAAAAAGATTCCACTTCTACCGGCAATACGGCTGCAGCTCATGTGCATAGAATTTCATGGGTCCGTGGTAAATAATCACCCCGAAAAAAATAGTACTCATGTCATATTCTACATTCATGAAGTGGATCTTAAGACCCATTTGATATTCATGAAGTAATATGTATTATGAGAATCAACATGGAAGATCGAAAATCCACTCCTTTCCTACATATAGATGTTCAATCTACATTTAGATCTATGTTGCACTAATCTGAATCATGCGTAGGAAGCTGTCTATAGGATGCTTAGTTGAGAGATCTACAGTTATCATTAGATATCTGACTTGTATGTTATATCTTCGACATCCTCCCAACAAGCAAGATCATGGCCGTGGCCCATGATTGCAGTCACACGTGGAGACAACAAAGCTCCTCATGTGAAGAACTAGTTCACTCAATCGTCATCCTTCTTTCCCGAAATCCTCATGGTTCTCTCAATCATCTCCACCGTCTATTTAAACCTTAAGAGTTTATTGAACTCTGCAAGATTCCACTTAACATGGATTCCAAACGTTGAACATTTGGGCGTAACTGATGTATGCACGATGATGGAAAGACGCTTATTCTGATTCTCTACCCAACCAAGTTAGATCACGGAGGTTGTGAATGGATGAAGGGACGCTTAGTATTGCAGGGGAAAACTTAACTGTCTATGTCCATTTAGCACTTTAGCAGAAATGGAAAGTTCTGCCAATCTTTTGGTTCCACCCACATCACTTTACGCGAATGGGAGAATGTTCAATACGTCAAGCCAATGCTAGTTAAATTATGTGTATTGATGACTTGAAATGGGCTTTAGAAGGTTTGTAACCTAAACCATGGGGATCTCTTGGTTAATGTCCACAACGTACTACGAAATTCTAATCCGGAAGTGTCGTAAAAGTTGATAGTGAGGGTGTAGAAAGTAAACATTGGTGGGCGTCAAGTCTGTTTGTTGCCTGCTGAAGTAGAAGAAAAGCAACGGTAGAGAACGTCGTGAAATTGTTCCATCTGCAAGAAGAACCTTACTCGGAGTGAACTAAAGTAAGCAGCAGTATAGTCTTCTCAAGGCAAAGAACACGGGGAGTGATACCATAATATACAGAGTCAGGGCGTATGGCATACTGAAGAGTATTTCTAGTGCCGTCAAAGAATTGTTTGGCAGAAAGTGGGCTTTCATGTGCTACATTAGGAGGGGTAGATAGATCCCGCGACTACATACTCGAGCCCAGCAGTTCGAAACGTGACGACTTGCGATCGATGGTGACATTTATGTTTGATTGCTACTCCGGCTAATCCTCTACTGCTAATATTGAAGCAACTGCAGGGACTGTACATTTAAGTGGTGAGACCGCATCATGCCCTTGGCTCAGGGAGGAGGAAATTGAACACCAACATCTGGAACGTAGTACCACCGGTCTATTCGCCCGTTGCGTTCACCGCTCTTTTCTGGCAACTTCCTTGATGTGCAGGAACATCTCTTCTTTGCATTCAGCTACCCTCTAAACCTCCTCTCGTCATGCTTTCTCTACAGCAATGAGGTCAAAAATTGGTAAAACCGTAAATTGATAAGACATTGCGCACAACACCTACATGATGGACTTTCAATGAGACGACAACGAAATATGTTCAGCATAATGAAATGGGTTTGTTACGAGAAACAACTTTTCCAGAAAGCCGTACGTGTAGTAGACTTCACATTTTCTGACCAAACGCCGTTACATGAATTTATCCTGCGACCGTCTTTCCTGTGGATCCTACTCGCAGTAATAGTAGAGCACAGTTGAGAAGTTCGACTCCTCCGTGTCGGAGATTCACAATTACAGGTGACTACAGTGGGCACTTGATGGCCACAAGCGGAAGATCCCATGCTCTTCCTAGTCATCTTCCATTCGGTGATGCTTGCAGTCATGCATTCACTATGGAAGGCTGGTGGTGGTGGAAGGAGACACCTCAAGATTTAGATGTGATTGGTGAATTTGAAAAAAAGAAGGAGATTTCAACCGTGTAAAACACGAATATGCTCACTTCTCCTATTCGAAATTAATACCACCACCGTATCCTTTCTGAGTAACCACTACAAATTGTCAGGCTAAATTCCAGTACACGAGAGACGACAACAGGATCTACTCCTCCCGGCTGAATCCTGATACGACATTTGAAATGTGGCAATGAGACGTGACTGTCTCCAAGCACCTGCGCTCCGTCTTCACATGGCACTCCTGGGGAGTCGCCATGGTCTCCCGCGTTCCCCGTAGGCACCTTTTGTGGCAGATAACTACAGCATTCCTCCAACATAGGTTCTGACCTTACGTACCCACTCGATGACCGGTAGAGGGACTTAGCTGACGAATAAAGTCCAATCTTCAATCTTCAGAGTTCTTAGCACAAGACTGAGCAGATCAGCCGTTGATATGCGACTTACTTCTTCAGGGGTTGCTGGTTCTAGAGCAGTCGAAGATGGAGTTTGGGGCCTGGAAAAAATCATGTATACGACTTGAATTCGTAAAACTAGATCTTATTAAAGTGCAACTGTATGAACATGGCCAAGAAATGAAATAATTAAATCGCAGGAAGGTTTGAACACTGTCGAGCTTCTCGGCCATTTGAGCATAAGAATTTTGTTCTCGTTCTCCTTTGTTAGTTATAAGCACAAACTGAGATCGAAGTTCAACAGAGCAGACTGACCTGTTGTCCAATTTTTCATTGATAGTTATAACGACATCAGTTTCCACGTTTCGCAGTCGAATATTGGCGAGATGAGCCTGCAAGGCCGTGGGGACGGTCAAGTACGACACCAGATAAACAAATCACCAGAGAGCACCTTCACTAGGTTTTATTTTGAAGTAGGAGTAAGATTATCAAACATTGCAAGAGAGTACTTCAAAATGTACCTTCACAAGATGTTGTGTTGAAGTACCACTGCCGGTATCCATGTTTGCAATATTCGGTAGTCCATCGAACTGCCGGGTTTTAGTGATAGTCTGCACAAGCCTACAATTAATATCCAATCTCGCATATTTCAACAGATACTAAGCTCTTAATAAATCCACATACTGGCAGCTTTGCAGTAAACTATCCTGAAACTTACCATGTGTCCACAAGCGGCGTTCATGACGGTGGATGTAGGCATGTGTGGGACGTCGACCACTGTGAGCACCCTTCTGTCTTCGATAGTCTGGCCCCACACTTTACGGAAACCAGGATTAGTAACGTTGCCACAGTCTATGTTCCAGTCACACCCCCAAACACTCACTTGAGAGAACTACACGAGCGCGTACCACGGTATTCTCTGCTTCCTGTTCCTCGGCCACATTTTGTAGGAACCACCTTGCACTATCCTCATCGCTGACGTCTGATTTGAACTCGAGTAACTCAATTATTATACTCTCCTCTCGATCATAATCGCACAAAACTTCCTGATATCGCAAGGCAGAAAAGACTTCGTTTGTGATCTTCATTTGAATAGTAAAATATCTCAATAACGATGGGAACCTCTCAGTAGAGATACACTGGACGTACAGGTCATAACATGCGTGTTCATTTCCACTCACAACTCAGGCTGGCAAGGAGAGCTACGAACAGAGTAGTTATAGATGCTTCGTCGACGAAAAAAGTGCCTAGTGGACTTAAGAGCAAACCTGAAACCAAGCATCCTCATTTGTACATACTGCTCCCAGATATATTCGAGTTTGGGTTACTAGTTAGCAGACAAAACTCCACTGGAAGTGCAAAGCTCTCTAAGAAATCAAGAAAATACATGCAGCTAGAATTACGTCTCACCTGATTGTCGGGAACCTCCCTTATGTCAGAGACGTCCTGCACAGAGATACAGGGACACTGGCATGAGCTGAATGCAAGGAGTCAGAGAGGTCGGCGTCTGGGATCGTGTGTAGGTCGGGTTGGATAGAAGAGAACGACAATTTAGCGACCTTCACAACTCAAATTCTTAGAGCAGTTTACTTGACAAGGGGCAGGATCAGCAATAAGGAGTGGCGTCACAGCAGCGCGACTCAGAAGAAACCTGGGAGGACGCGAGGGATGAGACAATAGATGTATAGTGAAGTCTAGGCTGCACAATTATCTCTAATGGCAGTCCACGCCTTTTCTTCAACCTCTGACTGCCCCTGAAAAGGCATTCAACAGATCTTGAACTGTGAACAACCAAGACAGGGTAAGTCGTTTTCTGTACGAGAGATTGCGCGTGCGTTCCGCCATTTCTTGGGCAGGAGCTCGGGGTTCTCTACCAATTCTTCCCATCCGCAACACGTTCCTAGTATTTCAAGAGCCCCTAAACTGTCCAGAGTCTCTGAACAGAACTGCTCAGACCTTTTACTGTTACCATCATGTCCGAATCCCTGGCAGAACAAATCCACCGTCTGCTCTAATCCTCATCTATGTCGTGAACATAGTCCGCAACTGCGATCAAGGAGACTGACATGCTTCATATCAAATCATCTGAGATGCATACATTGGAAAAGGCACATCTTCATGGCCAACTGGGAGCGGAGAGTGAGAAACCGACTGGAGACCTAAAGTAGCTAGACTCAAACTCGCTTTCACTGTATACCACAACTGAGCTCATTTCCAACGAAGGAAAAAAAGACGGGAAACAAATACCAAGATTTAAAGGACAACACGCTACAGAGGGCACGGGGTACACACCACAAATCGACTGGGAACCCTGCAGGTGATGGCACCTCCAAAGAGAAGACGACCGGTAGTCGGCTCACTAACGAAGTGGCCTTCGGACAGAGTCCCGTTTCTCGTCGATTGAACCTCCCCAAATTCCATCATCCCCGGCATCTTACTTCCCTCTCAAATCGTCGAAACTTCTCTCGACACCTCGAATCCTCCAGACACCTCTACGTGCGTAGAATGTTCGAACCCGACGGCCGACTCTTCTCCTCAGGCTCGGCGAGTACTTGGGCAGCGTGAGGCTCCACTTCCCAATAATCAAAACCTAATTCTGCCTGCCCTGACGACAGATTCATTCAATCAATCTCCATGCACACCAATGCCTCGATATCTTCAAGGTCCCATCGTGAATCCAAGAGGATGCCAACAAGTTCACTAGGCCTGAGGAAGCAAGACAAAAGCAAACCCACATTCAATTGCCAGAGATCAGGGGTGGGAAAACCCCCGACTTTTTTCGAAAACAATTTCGGGTTAATTAAAAACTTGATTTCAACAATGATATTAATATATTGTATTAGATTATTAGTACCTAATCAGTACATAATAGTGTATTCAGTGTAGTAACAAATAGCTTCTATTTCAATTAATTTTACACTCAAAATTAAAGTAGTAATGTATCTCGCTTGCTATTAAATTAAAGCTTGCAGCAGAGGCCTTTAATACTCGATTTCATTTCAATATTTACATGACTTTAAGAAACACCTTTTTAAACCTGATGGTGCCCGCCCTGCCAAAGATGCCTTGCCATTCGCTACTCTCCAATTTGCAAGCGGTAGTTCCACCTCCATTTGTTCAATGGATCTCCTCCCGAACCAATGCACCGCAAGTGCACATTTTTGAAATGCAAAAGATCATTGTTTGCAAATTATAGTCATTCAGGTTTAGATATCTAGATGATAAATGTAAATCTGAATCCTCTCACAACGAAGTGTTGTAGTATATGGATAACATTTCATTCGTAATATTATGTTGAATCCTTGTGCCAATTTGCCAATGACTTCAAATGGAGTATATGAAGTTTAAATGCTGATTTGGAGTATAACGCATTCAAAGCTATGTAGAAAAACATTTCTATGATGGGAGCGGCTAGTTATAACTCACCTGGGGCTAATTAGCCCTCACTCTAGTATACAAAATTTAGTCATTGGACGGATGTGGCTATAGATTCTATGTGGGAAAAATTGGATTTCGCGACTACGCTTCTAACAATTTTTTTATAAAAAAAAAGTACTATAAAGATGACATGATGTCATATGTCACATAAGAAGCTGACGGCCAACTCTGCAATCTAAAAGCCACATCAAGGTTCATGGTAAGTGCGAACAAGAGAATATGCACAAGTTTAGATGTTGGTGCTTAATGCAAATGTGTAGAATAATTTAAAGACTACATTGAACATTTTGCTAGGCCGCACTCCACATGTTTTTTATCCCAGTTTAATGTTGGTGCTTAATGCAAATGCGTCGAATAATTTAAAAACTGCACTGAACCTTTCGCTACGCCGCACTCCACATGCTTTTTATCCCAATTTAATGTAATAACTCAGAAAAATATAGATAGTGTGGCTGCAGTCAGATTTTTGAAACAATCAGACTATAAGCGAGATGGTGATTTTTTGCGCATGATACCTTTTGTAGTGCTTAATCTAGGACGTTCAAAAAAATCCAATACCACCCCACTCGCTTTGAACACCAACTAACCCTAACATCACTTGTGCTTTCACCAAAAAATTGTACCCAATTTTGTAATCTCTTCTAACCTTGACGTGACTTTTAGATCGTGGAGGTGGCAGTCAGCTTCTTACGTTGCACGTGACATCATGTCATCTTTGATTTCATTAGAAAAAAATGTAGTCACAAAATACACCTTTTCCCACACGGATCCATAGCCCTATCCGCAAAATGACTTAAGTCCTTATAGAAGGGTGATGGCTAATTAGCTCCAAGTGAGGTATAACTATACCTTCCCTTCTATGAGTTCTTTAAGAGTATGGAATTAGAGTGATACAATGATTAATGTAAGTGGTTGTATCAAATACGTTGAATTTTTCTGTAAACTTGAAATATTCGCTATTGAATATGAGTGAGGTAAAAGTTTTGGATATATTTAAAATATGTGATTAAAAAATAAAAAACATGTTTGATAAACAATCTACATGTCATGAGTAAAGCAATTATAGTTTTAAACAAAAACTATATACTTATAAAATTATGTATAATTAAACATTAATAACATTCAAGATTCATTTAATTCAACATTATATCTTCAACATAAAAAAAACATGCACCATCACAAGCATTAATATGAAGAGAAGATTTGTTGATGATTAATTTCAATTTTTTAGTGAAGATATACAAATAATAATGTAATTCCTTAAAGAAAAAAACATGCAAGAGTCTGAGTGATATGGTAAATTTTTTACAAATTTAATCAAATGTATTTTGTCAAACTTTACATGCATTAAACTCTACAAAATGGTATTATCTTACTCTCACATCATATGTTTTCATGTAGTGTACGTTGTAATGCATTTACTCATGAGATAATATTACACAAATATCAATCATCATGATTAATTTTTCTAAAATTCTAAGAATATACTCTTTTAATTAGCTTGCATCTTACATTAATTTTATTTTTTTCATGATGAATTTGATTATATTATTTTATTTTATTTTTCTATTTGACAATGTAATATCAATAAAAACTGAATTTGTAACAAAATAAATTAAACTTTTATCAATATAAATATTATTTTTCTAATGCAGAAGAAAATGTTCTCAAAAATATTTTTCATATACTATATTATATTTTTTATCAAAATTTTCATTTCAACCATGACAAATATTAGAATGTCAAAAAAATTTTGATTTCTATTTTCATAAATTGAAAATATATTGGACGTACATTTTTTAGTGTGATTTAAATCATAGCCACCTCATTTGATATGGAAGAATAATTAAATACAAAAATTTATAATTCTACTTTATTTAAATTGTAAAATAACACATTTTATGTTTTTGTCTTTTGATCATCATATTTCTCACACATGTGTTGAATTCAATTAAATTGATAGTTCATGATAAAAATATAAGTGTTTTGATTTCATGTTTCTTTGTAGATAATAATAAAATCTTTGACTTTATCACCCAATCATAAATTATGTATAATAAATTATAAAGTATTTCATTCTTTATAGTAAAATTATTTTATAAAATAATGAGATCGTTAAAAAATCTTAGACACATGAATTTGATTTTTAAAAATTATAATTTTAGATTCTGAAAATTCTAAAAATTTAACACAAATTTTCCTAAATGTTTTATTCTAAATGTAATACAATTATCTACAAAAAGTTCTATGCACCATTGAGCATATATTTTTATCATTTATATTTTGCTATTCTATGTAAAATAATGCACAACAAATAATAAATTAACCCTTAGAGCATAGTAGCATTATGATAGCAAATCTATTTTAATGTAACAGTTGTATTTAACAAAATTATTCAAAAGATGATAAATAAACTTTGAAAATAAAATATACATGATATATATATATATGTTTATCTTTTCAACTGTTAAAAATGCAAAATTTCATTCCCATCATCTATTATACTCATATCATATCAATGACGTGACGAATGAATCAAACAAGCAAAAGTATTGCTGACTTGTTTGTCGTGCGAATATGTATTGCTATATATTATACATCGTTGACATGCTACTCACATACGGTATTATTCACTTGAAGAACTCATGTTTACTTAAATCGTTATAGTTGACGGTTTTTTGTTACATTCGTTTCAAGTTTTGGTGTTTTTCTTGAAGGAATTGAACGACTGAGTAATAATTCAATTAGACATGACTTTCAGACAGGTTTCTGATCATTCCGTTCGAGAGTTCATACAGTTGCATCCATCGTTAGTTTGACTATTAGTGTTGTAAGAAGGCGGGTTTGGATTAGAGATCTAACGGGCTGGATGTAAAGTTCGTTGGATGTAAGATTCAGTCTCAATCTCAAAAGTCCTTCCAAAGTCGGCAATTCTGACAACCTGTAGCAAAACTGGAAGTTTTGTGGTTGGGCTTTGTGGTGAATGTGCGAAAGTTTAGTTGAAAACGAAAAGTAATCAGAAACATCATTTCTCAAGGTTTTACTTCGATAAGGTGTAGAACAAGTGGACATGTGCAATTGAGATGGAACTCTGAAGATTTGCCTAGAAGGGTGGAGCTGGTTTGTTGTGTAGTAGACGATAAACTCCTCACAAAGACTTCTTAGCTAGAATGGGGAAATATCAAGAACCGTAGTCGAAGCGGAAGGTCCTGGAAGAGCGAGTTCTTTGAGTGAATAATACCGTGATTAATTCATTGGCAAACACATCATTCCTTATTATCCCACTGTCGGGAACTGCAGTCAAAGCGGAAGGTTGTGGAAGAGCAAGCTCTTTGAGTGAATAATATCGTGATTACCTCATTGGCAAACACATCAGTACTCATTATCCCACAGTCAAACACGACAATCCACATATATATAGTCGAGTTCAACCCACTCGATTTGAGAATCCAGGTCGACGCTTATGGCACCCACTAATCTCAACGCTACAGGCTCAACTCGAAAAACTGAACGTTTTTTGAGTTTCGTAGATTCTATACCATATACTAACAGTAACCATATGCCAATTGTTAAATATAAAAAAATGAAAAATAACATGACATGTTGCTCTTAAACCAAAAATTAATAAATTAATTAAATCCTTCCATAATATATGGGTAGATTGTTGACGTATCAACTAATACACACAAAGTTGTATTAAGTAAGCACATGGATTGCTAAGATGATATATGCGACTGATACATTTGATTTATTTTTCTTTACAATATTATAGGTTTCATTTCCAACAAGTTAAATATGATTATACTATTTTCATAGTTTTGAAGATTAAGTTTGAGTCACACACGTTTTTTCTTACATGCCACACTACATGCTTTTGCTTTTTGAATAGGAAAAATATGATGATGTTATTGCAATTGGCGGCCAATATCATAATGCTATGATACATATTATCATGTAATATTATTGCATATATATATATATAAAGCCAAAATACTTTGCTTTTAGAAAACTTTATGCATCTTTGGAAGTATAGGATTTCTAATACTTTATTTGATTATTTATTAAAAAATGTTGCAAGCTTTGCAAAAAAAGTTACACTAGTTATGAAGTTGGATTCTCAAAACATATATTGTGTATAACAGGCGGTGAATATGTTAACTCGAGATGAACTTTCAAAATTGCATAAATAAGTTAACTACAACAATCCAATATGTTTTAAAAGAATAAATTAAATATTTAAATAAAATTCAAATGTGATGTTTATAATACTAGAATGCATTGGATCTTGTGACAATTCGGCTTATGAATTATTAAGTGAAACACATTGATAGGAGAGACCTCTTTTATAGAAAAAATAAAATATATTGAACTAATGTAGAAGAATCAATATTGACTTCAAACTCAAAGTAAGAATCTAAATTTTTCTTTTAAAACTTCAAAATACATTATTCTATACTACAAGTTTTGCATAGGAAGAAGGAGTAAATTAAATCTAACTATTATGTAATATTGTAATATTTATTTTGTTGTATAACAATAATAAATCTCTATAAATCATTTCTATAGATTGATCTTTACATTGGATTTCATAAAAAAATAGTGGAAAATATATTTTTATACATACCTGAGAGAAGAGGTAATCATAACATGCATGAAACAGTAGCATGTCAAGATTGAAAAAATCTTTAGTAATTCTATATAGTCTAGCTATATCTAAATTATTTTTAGCTCTTCTAGGAAAGAGACATGATAAAATCTTTCCATGACACAATTGGAGATAGTTAGATTATGATTCATCGTTGCGTGATGAAGACTCGGTGAATAGAACCACATATTTGTTTTGCAGATTTCTTTCGCGACATCAACAATTTTCTTTGCATGCCACACCACATGCTTTTGCTTATTGAATAAGAAAAACATGATGATGCTATTGCGATTGGCAGCCAAAATCACAGTGTTCTAACGCATAATATCATGTATTGTATATGGAAAATATAACTTGTAAGTCAATAAAATAAATTTGCATCTAAAAGATGATATGAATCTTTAAAAGAGTATAATTTGTGATATTGTTGATTTACTAGACAATGCTATATCTTTTATGGAAAATGTTATACTAGTTATAAAGTTGAATTTTCAAATTATACATTTGTTTATACCTGGAACCTAATATGTTAGTTGAAGATGTTTCTTTAAGTATTGCATAATTAAGTTAATTACAAAAACCAAATATTTTGCATTTATTATTAAAATATAATCAAATTGCGATGTTAGTATTTTTTATGATACTTAGAATGCATTACATCTTGTAACAATTAAAGTTATGTATAATTAAGTGAAACAGATTGACATGAGAGATTGCTTTTAAAAAATATACAACAATCTAATGATCAAGGGTAGAATTAGTCAAGATTGATTTTTAACTCAAAGCATCAACCAAAATTATTCTTTTAAAACCTCAGATTTCATTGTACTACCGTCTAAATTCTGTATAAGAAACGAGAGTAGATTATATATATATATATATATATATATATATATAATGTACTTCAATAACACATTCCAATTAATCATTTTCAACATTTCTGACATTTGTTAGACATAACATGTATGAAACAGTAAATTGTTTGCATCTTTAAAATCCTGAATATATCTTGATAGTCTGGCTATACCTAAATTACTGGATGGAAAGAGACATGATGAAATCATTCCATGACACAATTGGAGATATGTTGATTATGATTCTTTGTTCCGTGGGGTAGACTCAGTGAAAAGAACCACATATTTGTTTTATTAACTCCTCGGAGAATGATTTTCCACTATCTATATTGTTTCGAATGGCATTTATCTTCCTTGAAAATACATTGCAATGTATTATAAGATCTATAGTTAAATCTCAAACTGATGTAGTTATCCATGTACTGAAAGGGAGGACGTTCTTACGAATAATTTCCCAACCCCGGACTCTAGAAGTCCATAGCACAACTTGCATGCAACTTAGTAAACAAATAAATATCATGACTCTGTAAGTAAACACATAGCGCGAAGTCGAGGCAGTTAGCAAAAGCTGAAAACGATGGAAGGTATAATCATCACCACGGAGCTGGGCTTCAAGTACACAGGAAGTCACGACCTTGAGAAATATAAGTCTTTTGTACGCGGTAGAGGTGAATGTAAATCCCAAGGCAAGCCTGATATCATCCGAAATCTGTTGGCTGCTGCTTGAGGGCGGAGATTCGGCCACACGTGGGAACCATGTGGGTCATGGAAAAAATAAGAAGCCATGTACAGAGTATGACCTGCAATCGAAAATATCTTGGTGCCACACTCTGTATGAATACTACAATGAAACCAAAGTGGCACACTAACCAGCTGAAGTTAACTCGGGTTTAGGTCTCGAAGGCTGCTAGAGCCTTCCGGGGGATGCACTTCTTTACTTGGTGACATGAGTACCAAGTGATGGATCGGAGCTCTGCATCGACAGAATGACTGGATCTCCAGAACGACAAGAAATTTAGAAAGAGGACACGGGAAAAGAGCAAAAAGGAAGGAAACTCCGTCAAGGCATCCATGGAAGAAACCACACGAAAACAGGGGACTAGACCCGAATCGCATCACGAAGGCAAATATGTGCCATTGCAGAAAGGGAAAAGGACAAAATGAAAATGGATGGATGCTTGCGATGATGCGAATGTTCATCGTATATTCATTCTTGAGCAAAAATCAGGATAGACACAGAATTGTGAGCAGAGGAATCTGGAAACAGGAGGGTTTAATAATGAGCAGTCGGGAAGCAGCGACTACAGTTTCGTATGACACGATCTAGAAAACATAACAAGCGGCATGATTCACAAGATTTAAGGAGAGCATTAGATGAGGCAAGGAAGCACTAGTTGACTCCAGCCTAACAGCAGCCAACCTAACAATTCAAGGGCATTATAATATTGCAGTGGGTCCCATGAGGAAGCAGACGATCATATTCACTTGTGAACGTGACATCGGGTGTGTGGTACGAGTCAATCAAGAACTGCGAGCAAGGCAAGCAAAAGAGAGATGATTGCCTTAGGGCACACTTCTGCGGCTGCTGACCTCTCTTTTTCGCTTGCTTAGCACCCAACAACAATTATAGCTGAGTCTGAAGAGGAGTGAGAACACATGCCCCAACTTCAGTACATGGATTGAGTCCAGCGTTGGACATCCGCCATATCACTCACTCGCCACGCACACCACCGACTTACTCATTCACACACTCACTCACTCTCTCTCTCTCTCTCTCTCTCTCACACACACACACACGCACAGATACTCCCAATTTCACACTTACTTTCTCTTTTGGAGCATCACCAATCCCCTGGAGAAAGAGACTACTACTTTCGCCTGGAGGAAAGACGAGAGGAGACTAGATTGGACTGACTGCTCTTCCCTCATTTCCTGCCCGCCTTGAGTAGTGGTGGAGGTGGAGGTCGGTGGATGCTTCCAAATCCATTAATGCATGATACTAGCAGCCAAGCCGTGTGCCTTGAGAGTCGATCGTTCAAGCAAAGGAAGAATAGGTGATGTGATAATTCTTCCATTCAGTCTACTCGAGTCGACTTCACTCCACGCCCTTCGTGTGATCGTGTTTGTACGGATCGAGAGCATGGCTTGGCTTTTCTAAGACTCCTTACCTTAACCTTCCTCTCATCGTCTGTTTGGCTGTCCCCGTCAGTACGTTCCCCGAATTAAATAAACCCCCCCTCCTTCTCCCGTCCCCATCTCCCCTCCCCCCTCCCCACGCTCCCCTTGCTGGCATGCTGCGTCCGTAGTTCTGGGTCGGCGGATCACGGGCTGGGGAATGAGCCTCGGAGGAAATTCCAAGAAGCTCACAAGAAGCTAGACGAACTCAGTACGCAAACAAGAGTCCACGAGAAGAACACGAGAGAGAGAGAGAGAGAAAGGCAGAGGGTCACGGAGAGAAAAAAGACTTGTGAGCGAGCTGGAAGGGTCGAGAGAGAAAGAGAGAAAGAGAGGAGGAGAGGGCGTTTAGAGACGAAGAATTCTAAGATTTGGTGGCTGGCGGACACCCGATCTATCCTCCGGACGGAAGCCTAAACATTCGGTCAGTAAATCAGCAGTCGTCCATTATTGAAAGTCTCGAATTTCCTCCGGTTTCGCCACAAACTAGGAAATAGGTCGCTTCTCTCTCTCTCTCTCTCTCCCTCTCTCTCTCTCTCTCTCTGCTGGCTGATTATGGCGCCCGCCTTCTAGCGCCTATCTACGTTCTAGTGCCGACTGGACCGAACATGCTGCTGAGTAGACATTGGGAAATGCTCGTCATCTCGATTTAGTAGTGTGCCCACTTGTCATGCCTGTCGGCAAAAGCGGACAAGGGACGAAGAGCGAGAGCGGAATGGAGAAAACGGGGAGAGGCAGAGGGAGAGGGAGAGGCAGAGAGTAGGAGCGACGGGTCGTGGTGGTGGCTGTGGGTTTGTTGTTGTTGTTGGTGGGCCGGACGATAAGCTGTTCTAGCGTCGAGAGGAAACCAATTTGATATTTCTTGAAGGTAATCAAACTGTCGGTTGCAGCCATCAAAGCGCCGGCATGTGTCCTGGTGCTTCGGCAGTCGTAGATCGTACTGGCACGAGAGTTTGGGCGACGTCGGCTTCGCTTGCCGTGGCGTCGTGAAACGAGCTTGATTGCGCTCGTGAGCGAGGGAGCCCTTTAGGCTCTTATTTCGGTGTTCTCTTCTATAAGAAGCTGAAAGCTCGCTTCGTACATGGAGTAGGTGATAGTGGGTCCGGGCGAATAAAATTTCCAGGATTCCTCAGTAGTTTCGATGGATCTGTCTCTACCTTCTTCTCAAGGAAGAGTCGGATTTCTTTACTCGAACCTCGATTTATCGGGTCCGGCCGAGAACCTTATTAGGTGGAAATGTCCGACACTTTTTGAGTTTCTTGCACTATGCCCTGGCTGTGCCGTCCGGGAGCACTTCTTTTTCTTCCCTTCTCACGACCCTGGTTGCTTACCGTGGGGTCGAACATGGATGTCTGCTCTTGGAGACTAATTTTTGGACGTGTTGGACGCATAAAGCCAGTGTTGACTTTCAGTTGTTAGTTTGTTGGTCAGGCAATTGTTTCTTATTAGTTTGAAGTTCCGAACACCTGTGAGTTGTTGCCATCGATCAAGTCGTCATCTTTTCTTTTGGGTCTCTTCCCCCGTCCAGTTTCTCAGTCATTTGGCTACTGCTTATCGCGGACATTTCCGTCTTGGCTGGGGGCTGGGACTAGAGACGAGGCGGTCGTGTTGCTTCAGGAGCTAATCGGAAACACCCGTCGCGTGGTGTGTCGTCCTCATTCATTAACTTCTCATTCCATGCACCGTGACTGAGGCGTGGCTGTGTGTGATCGTCGAGCTCGCGTTGAATTTTTTTGGGGTGCCGACCAAATCGGTTTTGCTTTTCTGATCGGTTGTCTGCACGTTTTAATAACGTGGGTTGATCCCTTTTGTCTCGATCGGGATGTCTATGGCCTATGACTCCAGTCTCGTTCTCTGTTCGTATTGATGCTTGACTTATTGCTGGTCGGACCAGATTAGATTCGGCACTTTTAATGAGAACCACGATGTTTCAGAAGCCGGTCCATGAATGATGACCGTCTGCTCGTGCTGTGATGCAGACCAGGAATGCCGCTGTCTTCGTTGCAATCAGGTGATCGAAAGATCGCCATTGCCGTTGACTTGAGTGATGAGAGTGCTTACGCAGTCAAATGGGCAGTAGCTAATTACCTGCGTCCCGGAGATCAGGTAAGCTCAAGTTCATATTCTTCTTTACAATCTCGAATTAATGAACTTGCTTGCAGTTTTCTGTTACACAGCATCGCAATGTTTTGTCAAGTGCTCTGGGAAGTATGAAATTCTCTATATTGGACTTAACTAAATTGCCTTTTGGCAATTCTTGGCTGGGTGATTTCTTTCCTAGGTTGTAATTCTCCATGTAAGAGCTACTGGGGTTCTCTATGGCGCCGATTGGGGGGCTTCGGACCACATTCTTGAATCGGACAAAGAGGCGCAACAAAAGATGGAAGACGACTACGATGCATTCACGGAATCCAAGAGCTCAGATTTGGCAAAACCTCTTTCAGATGCACGTATCCCCTACAAGATTCACATTGTAAAGGATCATGACATGAAGGAAAGAATCTGCCTGGAGGTGGAACGCTTGGGTGTGAATGCAGGTAGGCATCGATTTCTCATCTTTTCTCCTTTCTTTCTGTCTCGTCTTCGACTTTAGAATATCGCAGGGCTTTTATAGTAGGAGCTAGATGAACCTAGAATCTGTACAAAACCATGAGTATTCGTTCGTCTGTATGATTGCTACTATGTATCAGTAGATCTATATCTGGACATGTGCTTCTCATCCACCCCTGTTCTTACCTCCCTCAGTCTATTGTGGATTTCATGACGATCATATGTAGATTTGGTTCATCTTGCAAATCATTTGTCTTATTTTCTCTGTTCTGCTACAAGAGAGGACTTTTAAAAGAGAATCTTCTCCTTCCTCCGCTATGTATACGTGGTTCTTCATAGCACGTTGACTATTCCTTGAATGTGTAGTATTATTGTTAGTTCGCATTCGACTTATGGTTAAGTTCTGCCCAAGGCTGTAAACTATCTATGTTGAGACATGTTTTGTTTGGCAGTTGTATATGCAGTCACATGACGTCTCTGAATTCAACCCACCTACGGGTTTTCTGGCCTCTTATTCTCTTTGTTGCTCTTTGTCATTCCTTCGCAGTTATTATGGGAAGTCGTGGATTTGGCGCTGCTAAGCGATCTCGAAAGGCTCGTCTCGGAAGTGTAAGTGATTACTGTGTTCATCACTGTGACTGCCCTGTGGTGGTTGTTAGATATCCCGAAGATAAAGAGGGGGACGCAGCAGGAGCATTGCCAGCGCCACAACCTACGAAGTCAACCTCCCTTAAAGCGAAGACAGGTAGTGGGAAATTAGAAAGTGGTATCCTTACTCCAGAGCCTCAGATTCCAAACTCCCCGAAGGTACATGTTCCTAGTCCGCCGAATGCTCACGTCCCTAGTTCGCCAAAGGCCCCAGTCCCTAGCCCAGCACCGGCCGAGATGACCAACTCACCAAAGGCATCGGTGACTAGCTCACCTCCAAAATGATTCAAGGGGTTTCATAGATCTGGTCAAGAACTTCAATCAATGAAGGTGCCAACTGCAAAGAGAGCAGGGCACCGTAGGTTGGAGTTGTTGTGGGAGGTCCCCTGGGTGGCTTCTGAAATTTCATGCTAAGGTGTTCGATTGTTCTTACGTGATGTACAAGTGACGTGAACTGCTCAGCACCTGGTTATCGCTTCCGACAGTCTGCAAAGGACCGGGAGATTTCCTCAGGTGTAAGCTAGAAATCTCTTCATGAGCTCAGATTGAATAACTGAGCCTTTTTCGACTTGTGATCTACTGATTGTGGGATGTATTGGGCCCTTAGTTCTCTCTCCGTTAAGAATTGCAAAACTTCTGTCGTGTGGTTCTTTATAAATATATACGTACATAGTTATTGCAGACTACTCCTTTATGTCCTCATCGTTCGTACTTTAACCCCAATGAGCTTGAAGCTTCACTCTCATCCTGAGAGATCAGTCTCTTAGCATACTCCTCCGGTGTTGGCTATTCTTCCTTCTGTTCTAGCTATGAAGAAGTTCCTTGCCACTCATTTTGATGTCAAGAAAGCAGATGACTTGGGAGTGGAATGTTAGTTTTCATATGATGGAGGTTCAAAAGATAGACGTTTTTGTTCCTCTTGGTGAAGGCAGCAGTAGCTTCGGGGTCAGGTGGGTCGATCGACGAGTATTCATTTGGTCTGATAGTTCAAGATATGTAACCTCACATCTTTAGTTTAGGTTAGCTAGCCTTGAGTGATTGTGAAGTGACGGTAGTTCAGTGGCTACTAGCTAATGAGACTGATCTTGACACTTTACGACGTTGACAGAAGAACTTGTGATGGCTACCTTTATTTGAACGACAGATACAGCTGATATTGTTGCCAAAATTAAATCAATTGTCCTGGACCCGAGTGACTGTATTGCAAATATGTAATGTTTTGTTGTCACAAGCATGTATCATGAGGAGCATATATTCTCGTGGACAGACCATGCTCGACCATGTTGGGTTTAGTATCGTGCTAACCATTACCCGCCATGTTGAGGGTTTACAAGAAACAATTTTGTTCTCGATTGTTACCATTCCAATGTTAGTGCATGATTTAAAAGTTTGTAAGTACTGTTGAACTGGAGTCACAAATTCAACAAAATAACTTCATAATTCATAGACACAAAGGCAATCGCTTGTGGACCATCAATGTGACCGTCGGAAATATAATTTTGCGAACTCGATGAAATTTCTCGAAAGGCACGAAAGTTGATGTGAGATACATACAACGAAGGGATAGTTCTCAAAACAGGGTGTGATACGCAAGGTGTACTTAAAATTTTCAGGAGACTGTAATTATTTAGTTCTTTTTCAAATATATAATAGTTCGCTGAATGTTGTACGTGATAGTTCAGGATATTAAGGGTGTTATCGCTGTCACTCAGCAGATTAGTTAGCGCTTCATGGCTTAGTGGAGTGAATGATTGCGTAGGAATCTTCACAGATGTTTCTTTAGTAGCACCTACAACTTATCATTTAAATTAGATAATTAGATTTATAAAATTAATTATTATTTATAAAATCTTACTATTTAAATTCAATGACCAAATGCAGGTAACAACTTTTTACTAAAATCGAGTGAACAAATTCAGGAGACGCTACTGCTCCAAAGATTTTTTCAATTGTACTTATGTACCGTAACAGTAATACAGGTGCTCACAGTGAAGGAAACTATATGTGGCCTCGGTTGAAGGTTGTTATCATCTCGGTGTGCGGGAAATTCCGAGAGTGCATCGAGCTCAAAAAAATATGCAAAAGGTGTCAGTATTAATGATGAGAAGAAGCAAGACATTCCATGTTGTTGAAAAGAACACGTAGCCGGAGGGTCGTTGATGGGCCTTTTCGAACATGATTTTCGTCCAGTGCTGTACTGTGGGTGTTCGAAATTAAGCCCATAACCGCAGTATCCACGGTTTCCCCGTTGTGGGAGCCGTGGCTACTCGTGCCCAGTTTCTAGTCAGAGTTCGAGAACCGAAGGTGCTGCCGCAGTGCTGAGGTGGCGAGTTGCGGTCGTCTGCACACGACGGCATGCCGTCGTCCACGTGGTGGCCACGTGCCAACAAAGTGCACTCTCTGTCCAGTTGGTACATATTCCGAAGACACTCTCGAAGAACTCCGAGAAAGCATCGGAAATCGCTTCAGGGGCACTCTCAAAGCGTTCGGGGACGGCTCGGGCAAATCACCGCTGCTGCATCGTCCTCTGCGAAGGTGCAAGTGCCTTTGCCTCTATTCGGTTTTGGCAGTGGTTCAAGAGTAGCTCGAGCTCCGGCAGCTGCACAGAAAATGTCGATTTTGCCTTTGCATTTGTCTCTTCAATCTGCCGCTGACTGACCTCGTCTCATCGAAGGCAGCAGTAGGTTCAGGGGAGAGCTTTAAGAATCTCGATTATTTTCTCGTGATATCGCAAATTACAAATTACACCGCCCCGACACTAAGCCACGTCCCCAGGAGCTACTTCTATTGATGCGCGAAATTACCTTGAGGATCCCGTGGGTGAAAAAATTCCTCGCGTTAGGAAAACTGAGCCAAGCAGGCAACCGACTCTGCTTCTCCTGAACGACTAGGCTCTCAATAACACAAGTGATCGTATTCTGTTGCAGAAGGGACGGTGAACTAACTTCTGGAATCTGTGTTTCGCAGGCCTTCAGTTCTTGCAGACCTTGCGATGGCTAGAATTGTGCCTCGACGACTTGCACATCCTTCCATATGTAGATTTGCCTCTTCTGCATATTGCAGCTCCGTGACACGAGGCCAGAGGGAGATTTTCCCGAGAGGTGAAGTGGTTGGGAGCAGGAACGCTCACTCGGAATCCGTGGAGAGCACCTACGGACGCCACCTTCCGAAGGTTTCCGACCGAATTATCAACGTGACCCTCGGTAATGAGCCGTGACGAGACGCTTGATTTCCGGTCTGAGAGAATGTGTCTCTTTTCGAGCACGATGACTTTCATGCTCGTCGACAGGGAGTCGTGAACTGAAAACCCGATTCGTTCTCCTCCTGAGAAATTGTTGCTGTATGTGTGAGCAGTCAGCCCGGTTGACGGGAACAGACATAACTTGAAAGCTATGTGGGGAGAGGGACTCACGCTCCTGGACGCGTTGAAGCGAGGAGGAGTTGATACAGGTTGCCCGTGTCCGGTTCACGAACGAGGTGCGCTCCCGTTTTTTTCTTTTATTTTCTGAAGACAATCAACAAGGTGATCTGGGAGCACAAGCACAAGCTCAGCTCTACAGACAGATGGGATTGGAAGTGGTTGCAATGTTGGACGAGGAAAAGTGGAATCCACAATTCTGCTAAGTCCGTGATTCTTCATTGTCGTCAGATTCAGTCTGCATGAAGACGACGTTCAGAAATCTGTCTATTTATTTCTGATAGACGATACATGCATAATGTCGCTCAGGGGTCGAAGTTTGCATGGGAAATTGCGCTGTCCTCGTGGCAACTGAGTATCTTGAACAATGCCCTCCTCGAACCGAGGAAGAAACTGAGGTTATCAGGCTTCGTCTTCAAACAGGAGTCATCTCTCCCCCTGCAGTGGACAAACAGTAAGCTAAATACTATCTTGTTAAGGCGTTTGGATCCATGCAGCAGTTCTTAGCTCACCCGGTTCTCGCACATTTCCTACCATTTTTATCAGCACTAATGAAAGAGTAGATATTGAAAACGAACGGTGAAATTGGCATCCAACCATAAAACCAGCGAGACTTGCTCGTTCATCACTCGTTCTGCAATATAACCATGTAACATAAAGCTGAGAATGGCTGAGACAAATGCATGTCTTGAACTTTTTATCTGGGATCTGGTTCTACACTCTCATGCGTGTAGAATGAATGTTGCTTTAGGCTCTATTTAAAAGGGTGTCGAGCTGCTTACAAGAGCGTTATTATCTTCGCACTGGACACTCTGCGACTGACCAGTTCCACTTATTTCATATATAAATGTGTGTCGCAGTATTCGGCTGAGCTGTGTGCTCCCTTTGGGTCCTCAACACGAAGGCATGGTGAGGTTACTAACCTCTTTCTGGACGTTAGTGGACGTGATACATACTTCGTAGGGCTCAATGTACTGCCCAATTATATGCAGTCTGACTTCATACAACTTGCTATGGAACACTGAAGTGTGGTGTTACACGGTACTTGACTCTTCCTTCGTACTTCTTGTTGTGAACAGAGTGTTGGACTTACAGAACCCGTTGCTGGAGAGACACCCTGAATCCGCTAACGGGCAGATCTGTACTTATTTATGAGTCACAACGTTGAAATGGAGCAGAAGATTCGGGTACTTAAGATGAACTTGAAAAGAGGGTCACAGCGACAAACCTCAGCGGGCACATTGGAAATTGTTTCGGCTTACCTGTCGTGTTCTTCAATTTTGCTTATCCTTGTGTCTAGATAGTTGTAATGTACCGCAGTGGACTGTAAATTGTCTTCCGTCCTCGCTCTCAGAGCATGTGGCATACAGTAATTCACATGTCCTCCACGAGCATCGGCATAAAGCTTGAGCATTTTAAGGATAAAGGTTACAATGTAAGAAATTAGTCAACTTTGTAAAGTTTGGATTCAGCAATCTGTCTGCCCATATGGCAGCCGGCTTGGAAGTGTCTGAAGTAAATATCACCCAGTCCTTCGAGCATGATGTGACGCTGGAAAGTGAATGGATCTATGGCTACATCCTTTTGGATTCTAAGTTTTCATTATCTTCAGTCTTGAGGTGAGGTCACGAAGCGACTTTTGGTCCGATTGAGGGATGTGTTTTTGGAAAAGGCTAGAATACGTAGATAAAAAACTGTAAACTTTGTAGAATTTTGAGAAGGGAACGATCGGATGTTCACATTGATCTTCAGATTTACAGGAATTTGGAGTTTTTAAGGTTTTCATCAAATTTATAGAAGACACAAACCGAGTCAAATTATCAATAATAATTTTTTTCCCTAAATATCTGATATATATCATATTAATATATATAAATGTATATGAGTTCATTCCATATTTAATTTTTTAAAATAAAATTCACAAAACATATAGTTAATATTTGATTTTTCAATCAAATATATAATATTATGATTGTTGGAAAAAACATTGAAACTCTCAGCACTCATTTTCAAACTTAGACACTTCACATGAAAATATTAGGGTCAAATAATATACAATTATCCTAATTTCATTTGATATCATCATAAATATTATTACATAAATTTTATAAGAAATATCTAATTTACAGTATATCATGGAGTAATAAAATTGAGTTAATTGTGAATCTATTTGTACATTTTCATCATCACACTCTATATCAAGCATTTGAAATTTAATTATATGGAAAGAAACACATAAATTCTTTTCATGATTTCATGTTCATTTTGAATGTATAATCTTTAAACATATCATACTAGTTTTTGATTTCAAATAGAAAATCAACAATGTTCCATTAATCACATTTTTGAAAATCTTTTTTCGAGAATGCATCTTGCAAAACAGAGAAATTAAATTAAATTATTAAATATCATCGAATTTTTTTTCTCAGTCAACAAAAAAATTAAATCAATTTTTTTTCCATATTTAAAATATATGTAAAAATCATTTTTGGTAGTATTATTAAATATCTCAATTATATTCTAATATTGTAATTTTAATTTTGTAAAGTAAATTATTTCTTTTAGCTAGATGTGTGATGATTTTGATACTGTTGAAAATTTCAAAGTTATCATAAAACTAAATTTGTAATAATGTATGTATGTATATTGAGCAAAAGTTACAAAATTAAATTAGAAATTTCTTATTATTGTATTTTTAAATATTTTCTTCTCAAGATTAGAGTGTGAATAATAAAAATGACAAATTTTATAAACGATAATATTATAAGAAGTTAAGGATGGTTTTTCTTACATCTGTGCCTGTACAAAATTATTGTTCAAAATACAGAAATAAAATTGATGTATATGATGAACACATATACATCATTTTCAAAAATGTCCATGCAGGAAGTATTTGCTTTAATTATAATTATTTCTGCAATTTTCGGGATACATCTACTAGTTGAAAAACCATTACGCGTAGTATGGTAAATGTACATTGAGAAATATTTTAATTCAAAAGAAAAATTTTGTGTTTGTGTATCAAGAAGATGAGATCAATGATTTATTTTTCTTACCATACAAACTATGACTAATATTATTTTGGTGTAAATCATGTTTTGTAGTTCTGATTATTTGTTGAAATCCATGATCTCTTACTGTTGAACAACACAATGTTGACAACATGAAGAAGTTCTAAGTCATATATCATCATTCACTCAAGTATTCTTCACAAAGTTTATCCTGAAACACAAATTGGTGCATGACTTATTGTTCTCCATTATAAAAAATGGAAACGTTACGAAACATTAACAGAAATCATAAAACTTTCAATGCATCTGATCTTGTATCTGATAAAAAAAATAATTCCTGTAGGTCAAAAGTATACCTCAAATTTAATGAAACAAGCATCACAATTATAGAATAGGACGTATGTGGAGAATAAGAATACAAGACTGGGACTTAATTGCATCGCAACTAGCAACATACCAACTAAGAGCTTTATCTATAATATGAGGGATTAAATAAGCTGAATGCAAGTGAAGTTTGCAATATGGTATACTAAACTAGAAAAATTAACCCTATAAGATATATATGGATGAAAAGACAATTCACGAAGGTTTGTCACTTGGTATAGAGAAAGGAAAAGAACGTAGAAATGCGTCTGATTATTTTCACAGCCGGCAATGATGTATTGTCAAGAAACCTGAAGGTTGGCACATTCCACATAATGTTAGCACAGAGAAATCTGGAACAGAGAGAATAGATATCATGCAATCCAATAAATAATGTTGTGCGTCCACGGGTTGAAAAACTCAACGTGGATGGTCTATGATGTAATTTACTATCAGCAAGACATTTACGCTGTCATGGATAGATCAGAGGGTGACATCGGTTGTGCTCTGCAAAGATGCGTGCTTCTGATCAGATTAATGCGGAGATGCATCAAATATGCACTCGAGCTACAGATATTATATCATTTTTAATCAATATACAATTTATCAAAGCTGGTAATGGTTACAATTCTTTTTGAGAAGTGTAAAAATTTGTTTAGGTGATTATTTATTACAATTCATATTGCTGAACACAATCAAACCACATCATTGAATGATTTGACACGAAATCGAACACGGTAGTGTGAATAAATATAAGAAGTGGTAACACAATAAACGAGAAATTTTATAAAGTGTGACGAAGTGAGAAATGGTCTAATTCATCACTACGATTATATCAAATACAAGTCACAGACCTAGAAGCTCAATTTACAATGGAAGCGTAGTTATCAGTATCCAATGTTGACGCAACGAACAGGTGATCCGCAGAATGAACTGAGTCGAATTTGGCGGAAATGAATCCGCTGCTACGGATTCAAGGGTTCAATCGAAAACGAATTTCATCATCTACCGAAAAGTCTTTCAGGAAGATTTGTGCACAAGCATACAATCATCTTCGAGGAAGGTACCAACGGCCGATTGACCAGGGCATCTGGGGAAGATGGGAAAATGACGGAAGTCAAACAGAAGAACAAAGATAAAGCATGGCGGAATGAATCATCTGATATGCTCAGCGCACGCAATGTCGTGCCTCATCAGACGACCGCAGTCCTCACTTGCAACATGAGTTCAAGAAGTGCAAGCGTCGCAGGGCAGGGGATGGAATGGCGTGGTAGCCCAGGTCCTAAATCACCCAAGTAGGAAGCTCGAGCCTTAGAAGATCATAGAAAACCCTCGAAGATCATAACTTCATGTGAGGTATGAGCCTTGACTTGGATGTTGTGCTATTCCAGAGGAGTGTCCGCTCCCAGAACTGATCGTCGTATGAAGAGGATGTCGCTTTCATCCTCTGCCGTGGTGGCGTTCTCCGCCCTCGACCCTCCTGAAGGCTCAGTGACACTCGCTTTGCTCCTGTCTGCCGAAGAAGGCGCTGTTGCTGCTTGCACTTCATCCACGGGCTTGTTCACTTCAGCAGCGGAGGCGGAGAGGGGATCCCTCTTGCTGACCATAGCGCTCGTCAAAGGATCTGGGTTTGTCTGCATCTCGATAGTAAGGTTGGCCCGCAGACAGATCGAAATTTGTTATATCAGATAGAGCGAGAGCTGTGACGAGGAGGAAGCCGAAGCCGGAGACAATCGAATGTTCAGAAGAGGTCAAGCTGATCGATCGAAATTCTGCTCCCAGGCCAGCCGGAAATTCTTCTACCCATCGATGGTTCAGTCTTCTGAATATGAGGAAGAAGCCAGCCGATGACAAAGCGCCAGCGCTGTCGACTCAGCTTGTTGACGTGGCAGGTGTGTCTTCCAACACGTGGCTGCACCTGCTCGCCTCTTGCGTCTCTCCGACAGCAATGCCATGAACCTCGAGAAACGCGAACGCTCTGATTCTCTTCCACATTGCCGACGCAGATTACCTTCAGACTGCCGGGCCGGTACTTGCCATATCATCATCTGCAGAGCGCCATCCCGAACTACGCGCCTTGCACAGGTGGTTTGGGGGATGTGGAGAAAAGAAATAATCTGATGCGGCTGATTATACTGTAATTCCGATTCTCTAGCGAGCTGGGACGTTGATTACTCTCCTAAGAACCCGAAGACACTTGGCTCGATTGAGCATTTGTCTCTCTGCACGACTGTACTGAACACGGAGGCTCACGACGACGCACTGATGTGCAGAGACTAGGCAATGCACGATTGCATTCTGATTAAAATATAATCCTCTGTAAGCCTCGAGCGAGCGCCAACGGGGCAGAGAGAGAATCGACTCGAAATACGGATTCCCGGCGCCAAACAGAAATTATGAAGGGATTGGTTCAAAGTTCGGCTCCGTATCCAAGTTATCCCAGACCAGTTCGAGAATGAGATGAGTCCAGGAGCGCATGGTTTGGTCCCACTGACAGAAATTCAGAGCCCGCAGAGTGACCTCGTTCCAGTAGCCATCCAAATGCAGAATGGGAAGGCGAGACGAGACGTGCAGCGAAGTGAGGTTTTGGATACTGAACCAACCGCTTGATGCCGGAACTTGTATTATTGGGCAAATAAATGGCCAAGACACGAAGGTGGGGTGGGGTGGGGTTGAGCTGAATCGGCGTCGCTGCAGGAAGAGCAGCAGCAGCAGCGGCAGCGAGCATCATCTTCAGCTAACCGGGAATCAAAATTGCAAGCCCAAAGGTCACCACGACTAGGATCGCTGACACTGACAGCGAGCTCCAATATACACTACTCTACGGACTAAAGGCTACGAGCTAAATCTAAAGCTTTCCTCGGGGCGGGGACGGTCAGTTGTCCTGCTGATGGTCTCGGCTGTAAAAGGCGTCGAGCGTCTTGCCGGGAATACGGCGCAGAAGCTCGCGCGGGAAGATGCGCAGCAGCCCCCAGGCCAGATCGAGCGACTGGTAGATGTCGCGCGTGTCGTAGGCGCCCTGCGACACGAACTTCTGCTCGAATTTCTCGAGGAATTCCAAGTAGAGCAGATCCTCGGCCGAGAGCGCCTCCTCGCCGACCACGGCCTTCATGGACTGCACGTCCTTGCCGATGGCGTAGTTGGCGTACAGTTGGTTCGAGACGTCGGAGTGGTCCTTGCGAGTCATGCCCTCGCCGATGGCGCTCTTCATGAGCCGCGACAGCGACGGCAGCACATTGATGGGCGGGTAGATCTGCCGGTTCTGCAGATTGCGGTCGATGTAGATCTGGCCCTCGGTGATGTAGCCCGTGAGGTCGGGGATCGGGTGCGTGATGTCGTCGTTGGGCATGGTGAGGATGGGGATCTGCGTGATGGAGCCCTTGCGCCCTTCGATACGCCCGGCGCGCTCGTAGATGGTGGCCAGATCCGTGTACATGTATCCCGGGTACCCGCGGCGCCCGGGCACCTCCTCGCGGGCTGCCGACACCTCGCGCAGCGCGTCGGCGTACGAGCTCATGTCGGTGAGAATGACGAGCACGTGCTTGCCGCACTCGTACGCGTAGTACTCGGCCGTGGTGAGGGCGATGCGCGGCGTGATGATGCGCTCGATGGTCGGGTCGTTGGCCAGGTTGAGAAAGAGCGTCACGCGCTCCATCGACCCGTTCTCCTCGAAGTCGCGCTTGAAGAATTGCGCCGTCTCCATGTTCACGCCCATGGCCGCGAACACGATGGCGAAGTTGTTGTCCTCACCGCCCTCACCGGTCAGCAGATCGCCCCCATGCGCCTGCGACTGCGACTGCTCCAGCCGGCGCACCAGCCCGGCCTGACGGCAGATCTGCGCCGCGATCTCGTTGTGCGGCAGCCCCGCGGCGCTGAAGAGCGGGATCTTCTGCCCGCGCGCGATCGAGTTCATCACGTCGATGGTCGAGATGCCCGTTTGGATCATCTCCTCGGGGTACGTCCGCTCGCTCGGATTGATGGACGCGCCCGAGATGTCGAGGAAGGCCTCGGCCAGAATCGGCGGCCCGTTGTCGATGGGCTTGCCCGACCCGTTGAAGATGCGGCCCAGCATGTCGAGCGAGACGGGCGTCTTGAGCACCTCGCCCGTGAACTCGATCGTCGTGTGCTTGTTGTCGATGCCCGCCGTGCCCTCGAACACCTGCACCACGGCGCGCTCGCCGTCCACCTCCAGCACCTGCCCGCGCCGCAACGTCCCGTCGCCCAGCCGCAGGTTCACGATCTCTTGGAACTTGGGCCCCTTCACCTTGTCCAGAATCACCAGCGGCCCCGCCACTCCCGTCACCGTCCTGTACTCCAGCAACGGCTGGCACTCGTACTCTCCCGTCTTCCCATCGGCGCTCACCATCTCGCCCTCGAAAAACTCTCGAAAAACGAAATTACGCGCTCTGATCTGCGCGAGATTCCGCTCGATGCCTGCTGAGCTCGTCGAGACAGGGCGCGCTGCTGCTGCGATGATGGGATTGCTGGGGCGCGGCCTGCGTTATAATGCGCTCCGGGCGGGCCAGGAGCGAGGGCACGCGCGGCCGAGCGGGGCGCCGATCCAGCTCTCCGTCTCGGCGATTCGAGCTGGGCTGTGCATCTCGAGGCTTCCGAGAGAAAAGAGCGTTTCAATGTGTCGAAAGTCCTTGGCACCCTCTCTTCTCGTTGAAGAGCTCTCCGACCTCCACGATCGGCAGAGGCTCGGAGGGAGGCAGGGCCGCGCCACTGTTCGTCGCCCGCTGTTGCTTTGTCGCCCCTTCAAAACATTATCGTCAATACATTTTCGTCGACCCTTTGCGTATATTTTCGAATTCCATTTCCTCTCGATTTCGATTCCCTCCTCCGCCCCGGGGCCAAGCGCAACCGGAGGAACGGAACGGAACCCAACCTGTGCACATTCCACGGGGTATCGATCGCAACGCACAATTCGTTCCTCTTCCATCGGTTCTCGCTCTGCGCTGACCTTCAAACCGGGCGGGGTTGCGAAACTGCACGATTTGGGCCAGAGTTGCAATTTGGGGCATTCGTTCGTTCGCATTGCGGTTTCGGCATAGTGCCGGGTTTGTCGGTTTCTCGATCGCTTCGTGATTGTTGGATTCGATGCACGGACTGTGGACTGCTGCCGGATGCTCATTCATTCAGTCCATGGAGCGAGCGGGCTCATCGAGTCCATCCAGTGGCAACCATGCGCACCTTCAGGCGCCTCGATCGGGGTCGCTGATAGGCGCTAGATCGGGAATCATGTTCGAGAGGGGATCGCCTGCTGCCGGGGACCATAAAAGACGGAGAAACGAAGGTTGACCCGGACTGTAGAGCAAGAAAGAAAGCCGAATCGACAACGGTTTGAACTTGGAATAAAAAATTGTCAAACGTGCCCCGGCCTCCGGGGCCCGTTACAGTACATACTCACAGTCCTGTCCTTTTTCGCCCTCTGACCTTTCGCAGAAAGTGCCGCGAATGCACGCCCCGTCCGTACGATCGTCCGGTTCACGTGTAGACGATTCGGATGAAGACAGGAAAGATCCGCATCCCGTTCGTCCACTCCGTCCGTGACGAGTCGTCACGTCGGTTTTCGTCACTGACGACCATCGACGGACATCCATCAACGGGAAGCCCGAGACCCGACATTCCGTACGCTCACCCCGCCTTCGCACGCGACGACGACCGGCGGCCCGGTGTCTGACGAACGTCTGACGGGTCCGAGAGTCCGAGCCGAGGCACGGAGACCTCGAGCCTGGAGAGCGAGAGCGAGCGAGGCCGAGGGACTTCGAGAATATTTACAATGCGCTTCGGGCAAATTTCCCTCGTCTGATAGAAAGGCGAGGGAAGGAGAGGAGAGGAGAGACGAGACGAGACGAGAGGAGAGGGCAGGGGCAGACATCGAGTCTTGCTTCGGCGCTGGAAATTGGTTGTTTGGCGTGTTTCGGTGCAGGAAAGATTAATGTTTGAGTGCAGCGTGCGTGCGTGAGGAGCAGCAGAAGATAGTTCGTTAGGCCTGTGCACCTTTCGTGTTCTTTGGAATGGACGGATGCACGAGTCGCGTGTGAGGGACCGACAGAATGCACTCAGGAATATATTTTCTTGGTTGTTGTAGCAGCTCGTCGCTCTCGTGAAGATGGTAGTCGCAATGTCTTCGATTCGGCATTGCTGCAGCAGGTACTGTTGAAGAGTTGCATCCCGCTCTGCCCTCGATCGGTTTCATGCACCACTCTGTAGAAGAAACAATCAAATCTGGTCGCTTAGATCTCACGTTGGGTATACATATGCAATACTATTCGAGCGAGCGCCAGCTGAATGCTACCATCCACCTCTCAAGGCAACGTCGCGCGAAGAGCCATTTGCTTTCGTAGGCCGAGCTGAGATGGATAGGTACCGAAGCGGATGGTGGTCGTGTACTCTCCGGGCACGTCGCCCGTGGACTACATCAATCAATTATTGCACACATGCAGGACTTTTGTGGAGGTTGCGTGTACCCCATAGTTAGGGTTGCTTGTCGACGCGACCCTCCATCACTGTAAAGGCCACCATCACCTCGGGCCAGACATTGTTTCGAGAAAATCTCCTAGTTGTACCGGGGAGGGTAGGGCGAGGAGGGGCGGGGCTAGACTGGGGCTTTGCTGTCGACCGATCAGTGACAATCCATCTCGATGTCATTTCCTTCGCTCGCCGAGTAGGATAGGATCTCAGTTCTGTTTTCGGACGCAGTCGATTACCTGATTAATAACCTTTCGTGCTACTCAGATCAGCTTATGGAGGAGGAAGGCGATTATTTGGACGCCCCATCGTTCATTCGTGGCTGCAGGAAAGCAGGGGAACAAATTACAGAGTTCTTTGAGTGCATGGAATTCGACACGATCGTTCTCCGCAACTGTCAACACTTTTGCTAAGAACTTCCCTGAGAGGGTAAGCGGGACGAGGAGGGAAGGGATGGTGGATAAGATGCTGCATCGGACCAGCTTCTCGCTGAAATCCGACCTCGGTGTGACGGTCGCCGATGGCTCCGATGATGCTTTTGTCCTGGTGGTACTAAATTACAACGTACCCAAGTTCGTACCCGTTCTTTGGAACCAAGGTACGCAGCCACGATGAGATTGTGAGAAATTGTAATTAGTTCCTGCTGCGCGCGATCGCTTTGAGGCTGTAATGTCAAATTTGAGTGCCACCAAACTCTACGGTGAGGGAATTGCGTTGAACAGGAGTCTGTCTCTCTCGCAGTGAACGATCGTGCTTTGCTGAATCAGTTCTCGTGTTGTCTGGTGAGCCTTAATGAACTTTGAATATTGAACAGCCCGGTTGCGCATTTGTGCTGACGGTGGAGCCAATCGAATATATGACGAAATACCAGCATTGCTCCCTGAAGAAGATGCAGATAGCGTGCGTGAAAGGTAGGTGGTACGAGCCTTTGGTTATCACTGAACTTCGACAGCTAGCTGCCAAGAATGTACGAATTTGCACGTAGGTTGGCTAGTCTCTAGAATCCGCCATGTGATGATTATGCTTTTGTCGGAAACACGAGGGCTTTATTCTTCCTCCTACTCCTTCCAGGTACAAGCCTGATGTGATAAAGGGAGATTTGGATTCCATACGACCGGCTGTACGGGATTTTTATTTGAGCTTGGTGGGTTGATTTCTTCGAAGCATACATGCCTCATCAGCTTCTCCTTTCCGGCGACATTCAACACTAACACGTTTGGGGAACGAGACATAACATCCATCTTTAAGCACTGACCGATGGGAGCGTTCTTCTGCTGCAAATTTCCCACTCATCTGAACGTTCTACCTCCTCCGGTCATCTGTATTAAAAGACCCCACCTACAGCCACAGCCCGTACGTCGTGGCAGTATCGGCGTGTTTATGCTTACTAAATAGATTACAATTATTACTTCACCAAACCTTGACATGTCCCTGTCTGCGGTGAAGGAAGAGGACATTTCCTATGCCTCTACAGTCCGTTCTTTGTCTGACGTGTATATGACACATGTTAGTCAGGGTCGTATGCATGAGAGTCCAATCAGATGCGATGAATGTGAGCTATGCATGGAGGCGCCGGGTTTGTGATTGGAAGACGATTCGAGATGTTGTATGACTGCAGGTGCAGTAGGCTTGGCTTTTTCAGTTCTCGCGGTTGTGTTGTTCCTTTGGTTTGACGTAGCTTGTGGTCTTGCTTGTCACACAGGGCACAGTGGTTATCGATGAGTCGGAGGATCAAGATACAACAGACTTTGAGAAGTGTATAGCTTATATCAAAGACGTCGATTCCAACACAGCCCCTCGTAAGGTGAGCTCACTGTTTGTTGTGATGCTTGTGCTTTTGCTACGTGAAAGCCCTGCCGATGGCTGCTTCGACAACCGCAGAGCCAGTGTCCAGGCTGCTGTTTCTTATGTCTGCTTCCCTAACTTAGGGTTGGAAATTTTCTTTGAAGGTCGTCGTTGTAGGAGCTCTTGGAGGGCGATTTGACCACGTGCTTGCACACATCAATGTGCTGTATAAGTATCCCAGGCTCCGCATAACTCTTCTAAGCGACGACAGTTTGTTGTACCTTCTTCCCCAAGGCTTTTCACACGAGATTCGGATAAACTGTGCTGTGGAGGGTCCTCACTGTGGATTAATCCCGTTCGGTACATCATCTGAAAGCACTACCACCACCGGACTTCGTTGGAACTTAAGTGAGTACTGTCCTGTCAGTTCCAAAGATTAGTCAGCAAACGTTACTGAAATGCTGTAGACCAGATGGATGACGAGAGTGTCGCTGGTTCTGATTCCGCTGCTCGTATTTTGCAGATGAAAGTGGAATGGCATTTGGATCTCTGATCAGCACCTCAAACCTTTTGGATGACGATGTGGTCACTGTGGTGTCAGATAGTCCTCTTATATGGACGATAGCCATACGACAGTCTGGAGAGGATATTTGTCCAACATAATTATCAATCATTATCTGAAGCGTTTAGATGTTGAATGGTTTGTAGAGTCTTCCAGAGTAACTAGATCGTATCAGATTTGAGTCGCGCAGAATGACTGAGTTCCAACAAATACAGGGATCTTGTTTCAGATTATGGCAGCCATGAAGGTGTTAGTGTAGGAGATAGGAAATAGTGAGCAACCTCAGTTGTAACACCAGCATTCATCAATTCTTTGCTCACTTTTGTAGATCTGTTATTATCCACATCTCGCTGTCTGAAATGGACGCCATGATTTTTATTGATTTCCATGCAGCTGGTTAGCAGAATCAGGAATTGCATTTGAGGAGTGTGTCTCAAATATAGGTGAAAGGTTAGAGTTGTGACTTTAATTCTCGTTCTCATCTCTCCTGGATGATTTTTATAGTAAAGATCTCAGGTTGATGTAGACTGAAATTTCACTTGCGTGATTGGAGGTTTGCCATAATAGATACGGATAACAATTGGTTATTAAGACATGATAGACAGCGGAGTATCTCCGGGTGAAGTATTGTACAGCCGGATTGATTGAAGCGGGTATGAGTAGCAAATTAGAGTACTTCATTACATTCATAGTCTCTTTCAGACTCAAGATTAAACAGACATTATTGTCTCTATATGTAAGAAAATACTGTCTAAATCTCTTTAGTTTTTTCTTTCAAGGGAAGTTGTGGAATTATGTCGTTGCCACTATCGTACCTCTCAAGAATTCACACTCGCGGAATTTGCCCACTGATACTGCATATATTAGCTCTATTAGACAGAAAAGTTTATTGCGAGACTATTAAATGATTGTTGATAGTAAACGACATCCAGAAAACTTACGAATGTAGACGGACGATGAAATTGATACTCTGTTCTCAGGAGTTTTGTTCAGTTCTGGCGATGAAGAAAACATCCACATGCGATGTCCTGGAAGTACGACAGTATATCTATTTTGTTGTATGTCTAGAAGTGTAGAATTCTGCTGCTATTTTCATTCGGCCGGATTAGAAAGTGGTTGAATGCTGAAAGTTTATCCGAAATCAAGGGCTCAAGCAAGCAATCGAATAAATTGGTCCAACGCTTCACTATCATCCTAATGATCAATCGATGTTCGACCTCATGGGGAGGCCTTTCTGTACGCTTGCACGATTACAATGGAGTTAAACAGAATGAATGAATGGACGAGGATGGCCAAAGGTGTATAATGCAGCCGTTTTACAAGAGCAATTTCTTCATCTGTACACGTGTGCAAGATTCCGAATCGCTTGTGTCCACTGCTCCGATCACCGGACGACTGTGGAGGCGGCTCTTCCGTAATTTGTGTTGCAGTTCTTTCTCTTCGATTCGAAGAACAATACATTTTCAAACAACGATTCTGGTTTCGAGGAACGATTCGCATGCGGCGAAAGCCAAATCTCAGCTCCAGTATTTACACTAAGAATGTTACAAACAGTTACAGACACAGGTACAGAAATTCGTGCCTAGAACAAGGGCAATGTCATCATCATGTCCCACACGAGCTTCAGCTTACCCGTGACGAATTGAGCAGCCGGAAGATGCGTGCCTATCAAGTTGAGCAGTCTAGCAATTCCCAGTGTAGCCATCTGTTCCGCAACACCCAAGCACATCCATCAGAAAAAGCTCATGCATGCATGGGCAGACGAAAAGCAATCGGGTTTCACAGGGATGATGATGATGTCAGGTGAGAGCAGATGCTTACGACTTTCCATTGCCGCTCGTAGAAAGCGTGCAGCTCTTTCCAGAATTTCATCTTCAACCGATTGACCTCCTGAAGGTCGGTGGGATCGACATTCAGCATTGCCACCATGGGTTTTCTCATGCCATTCGCCAAAAAGGCCACAGTCAGAGGATCCAACGCGTTAGAAGCGTCCAGTAATTTCCTGGGGTCTCTGCTTGTGACTGTGAGCACGATGGCTTCGAGAATTCGGACGATGCCGAAGAGGCCGAAAGCCAACACCAGGTAGCGGGTGTCTTGAGCAATTCTGGCCATCTGAGCATGCTGCAGCGTGAGCTCTGTCGATGTCCACTGAGTTAGAATGTCAACTCCTGTCTTGGAGTCGTACACAGCGGCAGAGAAATTCATGTCTTCCGGTCCCGGCTTCTTCTTGCCATAATCTTTGATGAACTGTCTGAAAGAAAACTTGCGAACGCTCTGCAGCAACAACTGCAGCTGAAGCTGTAGTCTAGCCGTCACAGTCTCCCTGAAGGTCCGAGAGCGCCCATCCTCGTCCACCGACACCTTCACTTTGCTCAGATGCCCCGATTCCTCGAGCCGATACTCCACGAGAACCTCCCCGATCGCACCGCCATCCACTTGCACTTCACGCTCTTCATTTATCTGCGCGGTTGCCTCGGCAACTCGGAGCTCACGCTCCGCGCGCTGTGAGATTCCCTCTTCGTCCCCATCGCCATGCGCCAAGTCTCCTGAAACGGAAATGGCGTGCGAGGCGACCAACTTGAGCTGACATTTGCGGCGCAATTTCACACATCGCCGGGTCGAGGACGGCGAGACGTTTCGGCAGAGCTTGCTTCGGAAACGCGGCGCATTGCACAGTCCCAGCGAAGCGCATTGCGCATTCGGCGAGAGTTGAGTCACTAGCAGGCGGCGGCAAGTGGGCGGACGAGCCGCACTAACAGAATGTGCGATGGAAATCATGACAGAAGTGGCTCAAGGTCGAACCGCCCAGCAAATCAAACTTCGAGCCGTGCAGACGGCCGAGCTAAGAGGATTCGAAGGTCTAACGAATTGGGCATCGTGCGATCGTGGTTCAGGCAGCGTGTGCCGATTTCATGCCGAACTCTCACAATTGAGGATCACTCAATTCGCGCTCTTCGACCCATTCCCCAGAGTTCAATTGCGTCATCAGTCTCATGGCCCGAGCGAGCTTCATCAGACCAGACGAGACGCAACTAGACGATCGATCGAGTTCCCAATGCTATCAATCCTCCACCCATTTCGCGGCCACTCTCATATCCGCAAGAGCACGAAAGCTCGATGGCATCGTGCACGACGGACGGCGGGACTCCATCGGATCCAGACATTTGCTTTACCCTAAGGTCCGTGGACGACGAGGGGCTGAGACTGCAGGGCCTCGCGGATTCAAACACTCAAGGCGCTCGCTCGCTCTCACAAGCAGCGGCACAAGGCGAACCGGCTGCGGGACTGCCACGGCAGCGCCAATGGCCAGTGCCCGTGCCATGCCTTGCCATGCCATGCGAGGCTGGCCAATCCACCATCGCCAGCGTGCCACCCGTCGCCCGGGTTGACTTCTTCTCGACGGATATCCACGATATCAGGACCACGTGTCGAGCCGAGCTCGGCTCCGTTTTGACCCGGATAAGACCGCGAGACCTCGCGGGCTCCTGTAATGTCCAGTGGGAGGGAGCAAGTGCACCAGCATGTGATCTCGAGATCCCACGCTGCGAGTGCGATGAAGGCTTCGGAATCGAGGCACCGCAAGGTGAGTCTGTGAATCCCTCATGGGGAATCGAAGGTCCCCTTCATCGACATTCACGTCTAATTGAAATCACTGCACTTCGGTTTGCTCGCCGGCTGACCTGGCGCCTAGCAATACAGTGCAGTGATTTCTCGTTAGAAAACATCGAAACGATCGTTTGGCCCGTGGATTTTGCTTCGACCGATGTCGATCTAAACATCCACCCGCGAGACTCCGTTGTAATTCTTGCACTACAACACCTCCTTCAAGAATTCTCACTTGAGCTGCAAGTGTGGAATCGAGCTCGTACGGGGAACACAACGGTAGCATGAGTGCGCCGTGCGGCGACATGATCCATGCGCTTCGTCGCTCGGAGGAAAACGGCATTCCGTTCCGCAGAGTTCATTCACAAAAATGCCCTCTTCAATTTCCCAAACATTCATCAGCTTCTCACACAGCCTCTGGAACTCCCAAGATCTGTACCTGGCTTACAAGTTCGACGACCCTGTCGATCACTCAAATCGTGATCCGGAAGGAAAGAGCGCGCGAATCGGCGAATCTGCCCTCGTCTCTTCACTACCGTCAAGCAAGGCAAGCAGGTCTCAGAGACCAAGGTCGATCCACTGAGACTAAGGAGGCCCTGACACCCGAACACCCGATCCCGGGACAAGAAGCCCGTCTCGAAGTCCAACAAGTCCCCGAAAGAGTCCGACGGTATTTTTAACTAGACAATGTCCAGAATTGCAGGCACATGGCTGCCGGCCATCCCCGAGCTCAGCTCAGGGAACCGCAGGCAGCTCTGACGCTGCTGCGGCAATATCGACCTGGAGGGAGCAATTTGCATCGACAGAAGGCGAAGAGTAATTACGACTGCAGATCGGCGAGTGAATCACCAATGAGCACTCGGCCTGACTGCTGCAATCGAGTCTCCCAGCTCAGAGTGGGATTCTGTGGATTCGATGAGCTCGTCGCTTGCTTCCGACCTCATCAATCAGAGCCGAGGACTTGGCTCGACTCGACGGTCAAGAGCGAGCGCCATTATGAGCCAGTCGACCTTTTCTGGGGTGGCGACGGAGGGGCAGGGAGGCAAGCAAGACATGTCGACCTCGCCATCGCCCTTCGCTCCCCGATCACAAGGCTACGAAGCAGCCTACGAGGCAGTCAATCGGTCCGTGTGCTGTAGAGGACTGTAATAGAGTGTTCTGCCCGCACCAAATTTGGGGACCGCCGATGGAGGTTCCGCCGTATTTAGAGTGCAATTCAGCGGCACCGAGCGGGCGGACGAGCGAAAGTCCTGATCCACCACGCCGGACCGCGCTGCGTTGAAAAACATGCTGACGTCACCGGTCACCATACCGCCGCTGATGCGGTCACCGCAAGTCGGCGCTCGACACATGTCCAGGACCACCGTGACGTCGAGCGCTTCCGGGACGGCCTTCGGATGGATCCGGACACGTGGCTGGCGTTTGACCTCGTTGGCCACTGCCGACGCCCGACTGGCCGGCGATGTCAGTTCTGAGAGTTGGGGGGAGGGAACCGGAACCAGCGTTCGGCCCAAAACTGGTGGAGTCGGTGGGCCCCGAGGCCTGGCAGGAAGGCCTCCCTCCACCTGTCCGTCTCGGTTCGTCGAAGAAAAACGCGGGAATTAGCGCATCGTGACATGCTGGTCCGGTCCGGTCGCAGGGTGTGAAATTCCAAACAAACTTACCGGCAATAGGCCGTGTAACTCCCCGCCCCAGCGTGGCGTCCGACGTCCACCCCGGCAGTAACGGGAGCCGACGGGTAAAGGTCAGTAAAGCGAGCGGGGGCATGAGTTTCCCGCGAAAACGGACTGGTTCCGATGAGCTGCCGGTGACGGGCCTCGAGAGCAGAGAGAGAAGGCCACCGGCCGCGGCGGTGGCAGGCGCCCGCGAGGCGCAGCTGGAACCCCTGCCGGGCTGACGTGGCGAAGCCTTTGGCGCGCTCGGAAGAAGAGGCGCGAGAGTGCATTCAAACCCTTCCCTCGCTCGCTCGCTTCGCTTTGTGTTCCCTCCATCCATCTGACCCTCCCTCCCTCGCCCGCGCGCCCGCCCGCTGCCTCCCTCCCTCCCTCCCTCGCCCCTCTGCCTCTGCCTCTGCCTCCCTCCCTCCCTCGGACGCTCCTTCCCTCGCTTCCAGTTTCGTTCGCTCGTTCGTTTGTTCTTCGTCTGCCCCTCCGCTCGCTCGCGCGCGCGCGCGCTCCTCGTCGTCGTCGCTCGGCCGCAGGGCCTGTGTCACATGACGAGCTCGAGGTGGCCTGCGAGTCTCGGCGTGCTGCTGCTGCTGCTGCTGCTGCGCGAGCTCTCGGAGGACTCGAGTGCTCTGTTCGCCAGGAGCCCGATGCGAGCTTGCTCGAGGCCGGTGCCAGCATCTCCCTCCGATCACGCGCGGCAAGCTCAGCGCTCCTGCTCTTAGAGGAGCTTGCGGATTTTCCACAGCCGAATCGGGGCACCTGAACTTTCTGCCAGCACGGTTTTCCGCCAGGTGAATCTTTAGGGTTGATAGAGTGCTCTGAGGTTCTTGAAGGAGTAGTAGCAGTAGCAGTAGTAGGAGCAGGCAGAGGAGGAGGAGGAGGAGGAGGAGGTGCTGGGGCTGGTGCTGGACTACGGGACTGGGAGGGGCGGACGAGAAACAGAATCCGAGAGCGGGAGGTTGGCTTGACCGAGAGCCGCCTTCTGCAGGGTCGAGGAGGATTCGAGAGAGGGAGAGGGAGGGGTAGAGAGGAAGAGGTGATGGTGGATTTCTGATTGAGGATGTTGTTTCCAGAGGCGTGATGCGAGAGGGACAGATGTCTGAGTGAATGATCTCAGGGCATGTGAAGCAGAAGAGCTGACTGCTGGCTTGAGTTTAAGGTAGATTGTAGTCCCTATTCTCCTGTCCGGCTCTGTCTGTGTTTCCCGTCCTGTTGTTCCTTGTGACACTTTGTTCGAATGAGCGCCTCGCTGTCTGAAGTCTGCGGTGCTTATCTGGGTGCGTTGGTGCTTGGACAAATAAACGCCTGAGTTTGTACTTGGCCTCAACTCACCCATGCGCCGTTACCATTCTGTTTCTGCTTGGGGTTTCTTGCCGTGCATGGTTCTCGATTTGCTTGGTTGAAAATTTTCCCCTCTGTAGTGGAGTTTTCGGCGCCGGCAGGACCCACCTGCTCTATTTCCTCGGTCGCCTTCGCTATCGGCTACACGAATTTGAACTTCAGGACTCTTGCGGTTTAGTCCTTGCAGTGGTCCCTTCTCCTGGACGTTATTACTTCCATCCGTTATTGACAATCGAACATCGAGGCGAGCATCCTGGGACAGACAGTTTCAGCAATTCTGATTTATTCTGCTTCTCCGGTGCACATCAGCAGAGGAAGTCCGAACCTGTTAGTGCCACAGAGATCCGTATTTCTTTTTTTGTGAAAACGTGGAGATGGTAGACGTAGCAGCGAGGGAGGGAAAGACTTTCCAAGCCTCGGTTAAGCATCCTATGCCCTTAAGGCGGAGCAATTCTGGAACAAGGGCTGCTTTCCGCCCACATCATGGGAACAGCGCTGGTCATCCGCCTCAGCAGCAGTCATCTATGTATCCATCATCCCACTCCTATGCTCTGGCTGAAGAGTATCATCGTTTCCATGAAGCAGGAGCTGCACTTGACAGTCAGGGTGCAAGCGCAAGTCTCTCTCATCCAGATTTGACTGTCAACAGATTCTCGGTATGAAATCTATTTCATCTTTTGCTTTACTTAAGTATGAGTGGGTTTTGCATGATTAGCTGATCCTCACTCTTATCGTTGTCTGTACCGTCGAGTACCATGCTCAACTGGGAACCGTTGAAGTCCAGATCTGCTTCGAATTGGGTTGAGTTCGAAATTCTGTAATCCCACCATGTTATTGACGCGGGATGAGTAGATGAAGATGTTTTTAGCCAATGTATACACTTCTGCGAGGAACTAGTAGATACGAAGATGTCCGTCTGAACGTCAGCAATTTGTCTCTTGATACTTTCCGATCAGCAGATTTGTAATCAATAACCAAGTTGCATAGTTCACTGCTTCTGTTCTCGGTTGGACCGATTCACAATTGATGATATCAACGGGGCTTACTGTAGAACTCACTGCTTTACGTAAGCTTTTACCGAGGTACTACAAGTCATATTTGTGCACCGATAATTATTGTCTATTATTTTTGGCGCTTACTTGTATCTGACACATGAATGAGAAGTGGTACTGCGTCTCGTCATGTCTCAGTATGATGCAATCGTAATGCGCTCTGTACCTCCTCCAAGTTTTGCTACTAAGTCCAGTTTTATCTTGAGTTTTCACTGTTTCTTCTGCAAGAGTGGAGAGGTCCAGTAATGTAGTATTTATTTTTCAGCCACCGAAAAGTCTCCAACAAACGGAATGAAGGTGTGAACTTCTATAATAGTACTTCAATCAGGATATTTCCTCTGTACTACAGTAGTTACTCTTGTTCTGAACTATTTTCAAATCTCTCCACATGAAGGAAATCAGCAAATTTTATTCAGGATCTACTTGACGAACGTAGGTAATGTAGCAGGGTGTCTGAGGCTAGGACGCGTTGTTTTCAGTGGTTGATTTTGAGGTGCATTGACACAGTTGAGGAGCGCGTGCTTCATAGCCCAGAGATGTCTAGGATTCTTCGCTGCAATCCTGTTGTAAATGCAATGCTAAGAACATTCGCTTGGCAGTGCTCTATGTTCTAACGGGACAACAGCGGTCCTCATTTTACCGAACATGTCTCTAATTTGCACGTCAATAATGTCATATGCACAAGTTCAAGCGTGGCCAGCATCCAGACCCCAAGAATTGTAAAGAATTTCCAACCGGGCTCATGTGAGCTTCATGGTGTCCTGTCTTCAGACGTGGTTTGCAATGAGCTTTCCTCGACTAGCTTCTCCTCTTGTTCTGTGAACACAGGACAGCGGTAAACTCTTGATTTCTTTCTTCGAGTAAATTCAAGAAGTTCCTGAATCCACATTTTAAGAATGCAATTATTCATGCCAACATTGGTGAATTGAGGTTCCTGCCTGCTATTTCGACTCCAGATTTCCAATATCTTTCAGATAACAAATACAACCTATTTCTGAATCTACGCGGGGATAGATACGGATAATATATGCATATATGTTCATACCGACGTCATCTATGTTTTCTCAGGTGCGGTACATGACTAATATCTCGAACCTAACAAGAAGTTTGTTTTGGGCCTGCAGGACTCTGGTCGTCTCCAATCCCTCGGATCTTCTGTCAGTAGTCAAGATGTCAAGGTTAGTTGCTGCTCTGGAGATCTTTTCAAATCCATCACAGTGTGTAAAGTTAACGTAATTGACCTGATAGTAGAATAATGGCGTTAGTAAGTTCGTCTCACGCTTTGTTTATGCTAAAGTTAAGACGCGAGAGCAAACTCGCGACTGAACCAGGATTCGCAACTGATACAGCATGCTGAACTTTCACTTGGTATTGGGTGCCCTTTAGCAGCAGCTGGTATCTCTAATTTATCGAGCTTTTACTCTCTCCCTTGCGAGAGGGTGGGTATATCCAGTGTCGCTAAGGTTCTGTTCTCCTGTAGACTATTGATATGTGATTGTGCATGTCTCAGGGGAGGCGGAAGTCTGTAAAGAATGATCAGGAGATGGAAGTAAGCGGCTGGTCATCCGGAAACGGTTTTGGAGGAGTGGAAGCGAGTCCTCATTCTACTCCTGTAACTAAACGTGGTAGCCGTGCAAAGTTAGTCAGGCAATTGAAGAATGACCCTCACACTCCTGGTGGACATCCCGGCATCGGTAAGGACACTGGAAGTTTTCTTGTCCACTTACCCTTATTATCTGAGATGACGATGTCTAACTTAGATGTTCCGACGTGTGTGAACGTGGTCATTGACGAAATTCCTTCCAGGTCGAGACTGTGTGTTGATTTTTTTTACGATTTTTGAATGCATCTTTTCTTCAGTTCTCGGCAAGGTCATAATCGTGGATCTCTCTATTCCAGGTTCTCCTGCAAGTAACGCACCAACTCCCAGCAGTACCTGTCGCTACGACAGCTCGCTCGGTAAATTGTCTGTCACAGCGGCTCTATGCATGAGGTGGTTTGGAGGCTAGAGTTGCCTGATTGGATCCAGCTACTTTCTGTAAATGCCACGGATCCGTTCTTACCTTCACACCTGATGTCTGGAAAGGTCTGCTGACGAAGAAGTTCATAGACCTCATCAAGCAAGCAGATGATGGGGTGCTGGATCTCAATAAGGCTGCAGATACGCTGAACGTGAGTCATTGCGAGCTTGTCCTCGCTCTTGCGGATTGGGATAGTGATAGATTGCGTGGATTAGCAGACGTTTCTGTATATTTTGGTGTCAGTTTTACCTCTGTAGTGCAATTCATGTAGGATAACACCTGACGTTAGTCACTAAGCCCTGTTTGTGTGCATCATTTCCACAGGTACAAAAAAGGCGTATATACGACATCACGAATGTACTAGAGGGGATAGGTCTGATCGAGAAGAAACTGAAGAATCGTATTCGCTGGAAGTATGTACTTTGAACATGTCCAGTCATTCTTAAATCAGTTTCTAGTCATCGTTCTAAAGTAAGTACTTAGAGTCCATATTACACGGCTTTCTGCGACAGTCTTTCACAGCTGTCCTTCTTGCGTTCTTACAGGGGCCTTGGTGTTCTAAGGCCAGGTGAAGGGAACGACGATGCGGCAGCCTTACAGGTACTTGTCCATGGAACACGGTAGCAAGGTTTTGCATTCTCAGAATCTGATCAACTTGCTCCCTTGATTTTGACGGCGGTTCTCTGTCTAACAAATCTCATCTTTCAATGGTTGACTGAACAGATCTGTCCTTGCCTCAAAATGGTCTTGCTTATATTCGTTTTTTTTGAAAGTCAGGTCCTAACGATGTTCACGTGATATCAACAATATGAGCTTCACGAATTGCGTAGTTAAGCTCAAATAGCATTTCATTGTATCTGTTGTGTGTGGAGGTTGGATTCCTACTTCTATCCCGACGAAGCTTTGTTTCCTGGTATCTTCAATGTGTTTCTTTGTCCTTCCAAGTCGTGCTATCTGACCATGAATTCTTGTGGGCAGGCAGAGATTGATGAATTGTTAGCGGCAGAGCGCCGAATGGATGAACGCATAAGGTACAAATTTCTACTCCTATGGCTGATGTTGTCCCATGGCATGTGTAATATCCTCTTCTCAAAGTGCATCGATTCAGGAATGGTGTATGCACCTTGAGGTACTGTAGGTTGCGCAGCAAAGACGTCTCTCGTTAGCTCGGCCTGTTTGCACCATTTATGATGTCCACCTGCGCAATTACTTGACTCTGATTTTCTTCCTGCTGTAGTGAGATGAGGGAGAGATTGCGATCCCTGAGCGAGAACGAAGCCAACAAGCAGTATCCAACTTTCTTCGTGAACTTTTTAGCAAATTTTAGCAAGTTTTAGTTTCAGTTTTAGCAAATTTGGTCGGTACGTTAACGTACAGACATTGAGGCCTTAACACTTAAACCACCAGATGGCTCTATGTTACTGAAGAGGATATTAAGAATCTACCGTGTTTTCAGGTGAGTTTCGCTTCCAATCTATGGTCAGCATAGGAACTTCAACTTCGTACAGAACTTTTAGGTCCACTTTTAGGTCTCATGTTGCAGTTTAATGCCGGAGAAACTACTGAAGAACGTCTGGTTCATCACAAATCGCCTTTCCCACAGAATGAATTACGCTTCTTGGAGCTCAGTGATGACTGAAAGGGATTCAACCAAACTTGACAAAAACTTGTTTTACTGTTTTCACAGTAACGATATGTTTCACCTTCAAAACTTCTTGTGGACGTTATTTTCTCACTTGATCTGTCTTACTTTGTCCATGCCCCTCATTTATGACCCTTCCTTTTTCAGTTACGAGACCTTCTGACCAAAAGAACTATTGATTTGCAGAATGAAACCTTACTCGCCATTAAAGCTCCGCATGGCACAACTCTGGAAGTCCCTGACCCAGACGAGGTATTTTATTTAATCTTACATTGAAATTGCACTGCTCTCAATATGTCAAGCATGCTTATTGTACTGATTTTGAGCTACTATTCATTGCAGACCGTAGAATATCCCCATAGACGCTATCAGATTCTGCTACGAAGTAACATGGGGCCTATCGACGTCTACCTAGTCAGGTGTGGAATCTCTTCTGTGCTCTGTGACAACTAAGGTTTTCAGGATCACGAAGATAACATCTCTGTAGATTATTATTCCAGGCCACGATTTTGTCTGTGTGAAGAGTCCAATTTATTACTTCTTCTTCAATCAGAGCAGTCTGTTTGTGCACGTCAGTAAGTGTTGTTAGTGTTAACGTCTATTGGAGCCATTTGTTGACTTCTCTGTAATGTGATGATACTGAGAGTGTCAAATATTCTGTGAACAGTCGCTTCCAAGAAAAGTTTGAGGAGGTGAATCACGCGCAGCAGCCAATGGACACGGCCGAAGGGGACGCAGGAATGCAACCGCCGTATGTAGCCAACACAGTAATGGATGCGATGCCGGATGGGGAGCGTCTCGCAGATACCGGAACTGGAACTCATCATGATGTTCCATCTCCTCATTCTGATCCGGAGAGTCCTCACGATTTTGTTCACGGAATTATGAGAATCATGCCTGCTGAAGTCAATGTAAGTCAACCAGTTTTCTCTGTAAGGCTGGTTTGTTTCTTCATTTAAGTGTTTCAATTGGTTGCTTAGAGTCGTCTCATGACTGGCGATTTCGTGGATTCTGCAGACGGATTCGGACTACTGGTTGCTTTCAGACGCTGGCGTGGGCCTGACGGATATGTGGAGGAGTGATCGTATCCTCCTAATTGTTTTTGACGTTGTTCGATGAATGTCCTCGAGTTTGCATTGCCGAAAAGGTTTCTCATGCATATTACATTGGCTCTGCAGTCAGCTTTTTATATTTTCATGTTTCAGAGAAATCGTGGGCTTGTTGTTTGGACCTTGACAGTACTTGTTGCAGCTTCGAACTCTATGTGGTCGAATGTGGTGAAGTTAAACTCCACAGAATTCGGCTTAGGAGACGACGAATCTCCTCACCCGCAAACGCCTCCTTCAAATTCTGCGCCAGAGGTGGAACCCATGACTTGATAAACTTAGTTTCATTATGTGCAGTTGTCGTGAAATCGAAATAGTCACGACGAATGTATTGTCACAGGAGGCCGAAGGCAGCCTGTCCATGATTTTGACTCGCCCTTCTCCCTAGAGAGCTATCTTGTCGTACGTAGCCAAGAGATATCTCTTGCCGCAGCCTAATCATTTGTAAATTATAGGACAATTCTGTCTACGTGCTTGCATGGTATTAATGGCTCGATGTTTGAGCCGGTTGAGGAAGACGTAGTTCTAAGCTATCAGAGCGACTACATCTTCAGAGAAGATTTCTTGAAATCATTCTATTTCCGAGAGTTCTTAGAATTGGCGCTGTAATTGCCGAGAGCGAAACCAATAGCATTTATGCTTCTTTCAGCAATAAAAGAGAAGTTCATAGGCTAAATCGGGCTGGTTCAATTCGTAGTATCATCTGCGATTCCAACCAGCAAATCCACCTCGCGGAAGTCGAAATCCGCGACATTAAAGTAGGTGTAACGGGACCTTTCTAATAAAAAGCCCTCCGCAACAGCAGCCCATGATTAGCATTTGAAACTGGAGCCTGACTGACACGTAGTCAGCTCTAGCTTCTGCTGCATTCGGCACAAGCTATTTTTGGTATGAACTTGAGATTGGTCATATTTTAATCTACATGAAAATGAATGATGCTTTCGTGCACGCCACTTGAATGTGCATTCTGCAAATTTTCATCTGGAATTCTTATCTGCATGTATTAACTATGAATTATCATCAGCAAGCTTTTTGAATGTGAGATTTTTCTAGCAAGTTTAGTAGGAACGTAGTTTTTCATCCACAGAACCATACACTACTTATTCTCATACACATTCACTATCTTAACAGCTAATTTTCTGATGATGAACTTACAACTCGTGACAAACATACGATAACTGACCAATTGGAAAGCTTCTCAACGTCAAATGAAGAAAAGAGCTGACAATATTACTTCATGTGACAATTTCAACATTGTTGACATTAGGAGAAAAGTTGATAAACTTTTCCTTCTGGAAAATTGATAGTCATTGTTCGATCAAAAGAGCAAGAGGCTGTGCAAAAGTAGAAAGCATATAATCTAACGTGATATTCGCGACAATGGCAAGAGTTTGAAGCTAAGACCAATTTTCATTTATTTTGATACGCGCCACATAACATTTTTTCGACAGATTTGTATCACTTTCGAGACAAGTTTCCGAGCCAGAGCGTAAATTCGCAACTGGTGTTGGTTACTGAAATTGACGAACGAAATGATCGTCATGCTCCAGAATTGGCTTGTCGCTCGCTTACAGTGGGCGCTTAGCTGAGCAAGTTCCACCATGATCATAGACCATGGTGCCAAACGTCCTACCGTTTCGTTCGTACGAAGGAGAACTGTCCATTCGTCCTTCACTGCGGAAGTTCGGAACTCCGTCGTTGATGCTGTGCGCTGTTCTTCAGTAGCAAGCAAACAGTCTACGCATCCATTTGGACTTTGCGATGACGCCGCGAAAATTCTGCCTTTTGACTGGTAGGAAACAGTCATACTCGTCTTAGTCAAGATTCTCAGCAAGATATTTCTCAATCAACTCCTCAAAGCGTTTCGTGAAACTCCCAGTGCCAAGCCTCAAGTCCCTCCTGCTCGTCGTCAAACTATGAAGGAAAGGACTTGAGTGGTTTGAGCAGATCTCTTGCATTGATTGGGCAGAAACAATCGTAAATGTAAATAATCTCCATTCTCCTGACTCACAGAAACAAATCGTAAAACCAGTGATGCGTGTAAAGGCTGCCGATGTAAGCACGCTCTTTCCAGACTCTGCGTCAGCCATTCGACCATGTCCGGCGAGACAAACGCTACACGGTATCAACATATTCCTCGCGTATACACTTTCAGTTTGAACTCTCAGCTTTGAAGATAAGAATCAAAATCTGCTACCTATTTTACACTCTTCAAATAATTGGAAACTAAAACCTTGTCAGCGAAGAGCTCACCAGCTTAACGCCAAAAAAAACTTTGGCCAATGGAATTGAACACAAAAAATGTTTAAGTAGGTTCCAAATCCCCACTCCATAAATCGTAATTTACAATCTACGGCACAGTTCCAGATTCCTCTAAGTTTTAATGTAACATCTGTATATGCATACTACCCAGTCTTTCCTGTCTTGCAAGTGACCTGAAAGAAAGTCGTGCTGTCTTGCAACTGACTTTAAGAAAGTTTGAGTCCGAGTATTGATGTATTTGTGCCTGAGCTCCTCCATACCCACAAATGTCAGTCAGTAGCCCTGAATATGACCTGTCTTTGCTTGTGTGGATTGCCCACCCAAACCACCTGTGACGTCTGTAGGAGAGTGGTCTCATCCGTGTTTACTCATCAGTCATGGATGCAGAAGTGCAGCGCGTGGATTCGTCCAAATGACAGTATGCTACATTGATACGTATACACTTGCCCGCCCGCCCGCCTTCCTTCCTAGCTCGAATCAAATCGCTTCAGCAACTTCTTCAGTCAAGCCATCATGTCATGCTAGCCCCACCTTCAATTCGTCATATATTTACACTACTCAATGCATGCCAGCAACAAAAGCGAAAACTGTCACTGGTCTCAGATAAGGACTCTTCCGGGTAGACCAAGGATAGGAACAATCTGTTATGTTCATAAAACAAGTGTAGGTTCACAAGTGCGCCTGCGCACTTGTGAACCTATGGCTCCAGTGTGTAAAGTATACGAAGTGAGTGAACAACCGTTAATTTCCAATATTTGAACCTGATTCATACCAAATAAAGAAGTACAAAATCTACAAGATCCAACGTGTGGTGAAATGTGCGAGTTAGGTTGTTAGGATTGCAGAGCTTCTAGCAGCTCTCTAAAATGGCCTGGGTTTAAGTGTAAATCGGATCATGAACGTCTCCAAACTAGAGCATGTTCTCTCCCCTGAGAAATTAGAGAATGGATGGAGAAAAGATGCTATAATTTATATTGTACAGTGCCCACACTGACCTACCTTGAACCGATGTACTTTTCCTGCAAGTATCTATCTACCTACAGCCTAGAAGGGTATTCCAGTCAAAGTGAACAACTGTGAAGCTCTCCTCCCATGCCGTACTTGCTATACCTGTCCTGTGTATTTGATTGACAAATGACCCAATACATTCTTCTTCTCACAATTAATGAGGTCTCTATACACTGGCAGTCAACTAACTCTAATGTCATAATTACAAACACCTGGGTAGCGTTCATTCGACTCGACCTCTCGCATCAGGCAGAAAACACAGGAGCTTTCGGTCAACACCATTGATTAACGTAACGATTCTAATCAGCAGCTTCGCCATCATTTAGTTGACGGGAGGCTACCCTCTAAGCAGAAATAAATCTTGTATGTAGCCAGAGACGAAGACCCACAAATTAAGTCTCTTCAAAGCATGTTGTTTCTTGAACTTGATGTGCTCCTTGTATTCGTGTGTGCGTCTGCACCCTTCATCATCCTCATCATCATCATCCGTCCCCAAGGTTGCCGTCTGTGGTGATAAAATTTAGTGTTTAAAATCAGAACTGAACCACTTTCAGAGTGGACGGGTTATCATTGACTGAATCTGCCTGCGGCCTTAGACCACGTGTCCTGGTAGGACGAAGCAACATACTTACAGATAACAGAGAAACAAGAGCAAGACACAAAGCGCTGGACTTTCAAGAACGTGCTCATCGAGTGCAATCCAAGGGCGGCCAGCCAACCAGCCAACCGGATGAAATGATGTCAGTCGCAATGTGCTTGCAAACCTCCTTCCAAGATTTAAAATGACACCGACAATTCTCACAAAAAAGTGACTTAAGCCAAAGCACGAAATCATCATCACCATCATACAAGGGACCCGGAACCATGTCCGGGATCAAGCTGCCAAGCAAAGCACAACTCAAACCCAGCGACGCATCGAAACACGGGATCCATTCATGCGGTCACTCGGTCTCTCATCGGACCGCGCCATGCACCAAAGGCAAAATGAGAAGAGGAAGGAGGAAGAGGAGCAGCAGAGGAGAATTGCGGCAAAAATCGAGACAGAAACAGACACAGAAGCCAGAGGTCATCGCGAAGCATTTCCATTCGGATCATCGGGGTGAGAATTACCAGTCGTTCCGTTGCGCGGTTTACTATCCTGAGCTCTTCTAACTTGGAACAAATCGTCTAAAATGCGCTCTAGATCCTCGGGCGAGTACTTGATGTGGCGCGAGCCGACGGTCGAGCCGGGGTCGAGCAGGCTGCGGAAGGTCTGGATGAAGCTGCGGTAGGCGGGCACCACCATCTGCGCCACGGCGAGCTCGACGCCCTCGCGCAGCTCGGCGTCGGGAATGACCCACTTGCCGTGCCGCAGCGTCACCTCGTCGAAGCTCTGCGTGAAGCTGCGCACGCGCTGGCGCGCCAGCTCGCGCGTGGCGCCGCGGTTGCCGCTGGACACGGCCAGGCCCTCGCGCGTCAGGAAGGCCAGCATGCGGCCCCACGTCTCGCGCTGGTAGTACAGCGTGTGCTGACGCACCTTGCCACGCGTGTCCTTAACCCAGGCGTCGCCCAGCAGCGGGCCGAGCTCCGAGTCCTTGACCCGCGACACCATGTACCAGAGGTTGTTCATCATGAAGATGTGGCCCAGCGACGCGTCCTCGTAGGACTTTCCCTGCCGCGTCACGTGCTTCTCCAGCGCCTGCATCATCCGCTGCACGCCCGCCGCCAGCCACCTGTCCCGGTCGCGCGACTCGTCGCCCTCGCCGTCGCGGCGGTTGTGCACGCGTAGAACCTTGGCCATGATGGGCCCGTAGAAGTCGCTGACCAGGTACTTGACGTAGTTGACCACGTAGCTGCAGAGGCGCGACCGCTCGCCGTTGGCCGGCGCGTCGCCCGCGCCCTCCTCGACGCTGCGCCCGAACTCCGCCAGCGTCTCGCTGGCGCGCACCACCACCTTGCGCTGGAGCTCGCGCGCGCGCACGCGGATCTCGCCCAGCGCCGCGTCAGCGCCCTCGAACACCTCGAACACGCTGGCCAGCAGCTGGTCCATGGTCTCGTACATGTCCAGCAGCTTGAACAGCTTGGCCGGCGCCGTCTCGCTCTGCGCCACGCCCTCGCCGAAGGCCAGGAAGGGCAGGAACCCGGCCGCGCCCAGCCGGCCCCAGCACCGGATCCACCTCTCCTTCTCCACCGTGGCGAACACGCGCGTGCACAGCCGCCGCTCCGCCTTGAACACCACGCGGCACGCCACCTGGACGTGCTGCGTCCACTGCGCAATCATCCCCTCCAGCTCCTCCCACGCCAGCTTGTCGATCTTCTCCGCGCTCCCGTGTACCAGGTACTCCGCCCTCATCTGCTCCTGCACCGTCTGCCGAATCGGCGCCAACCGGCTCTCCCGGTATATCTCCAGCACGTTGTCCGTCCACCTGTGCCCTTCCAGCCTCTCCACTATCGTCCGCAACGTCTCCGTCACCTCCGCCGGCATCAGCACCGGCAACGGTGCGCTCACCGGCTCCTCCTCAACGCCCACGCCCGCGCCGAATTCCGAATTCGAATCGGCTGGCGCTGGCGCGGGGGTGGGCGGGGGCGGGAGGACGAGTTCGGACGGGGGGAGCGGGGCGCTATGCTGGAGGAGGATGCGACGGAACTCGAGGTCGAGCTTACCGAGTGCGACCTGGAGCAGGCCCATGTCGTAGTTACTGCCGCGGTCGGCCTCGGACTGCATGTCCTGGAGCACGCTGGCCAGGCGCTCGTTGAGGCGGTACATGCGATACTTGTCGGCCGTCTTGCTGCTGGCCAGGAAGCTGACTGCGTCGCTGATCCACTGCACGGCGCGCACGCAGTTGCCCGAGAGGAAGCCCATGGCCTCCTCGAGCTGCGACAGCGAGGCCAGGTACTCGGGCAGGTCGTGGCGCGGCTCGCCCTTGAGGATGCGCTCCAAGCTGCGCACCACCTCGAAGGTCCTCAGCACCTGCTCGGCCGGCTGCGAGGCGCGGTCGATCTTGGCGCCCAGCCCCTTCTGCAGCAGCGCCTGCGCCTGCAGCGGCCGCATGGCGGCCTCCAGCGCCGGCAGCGCCTCGCGCATGCCCTGCAGCTTCTGCCGCGATCTGGCGATGCCCGCCTCCATCTCCTTCGTCCTCTCCATCGTCTGCATCAGCGTCGCCCGTGCTGCCACCAGGTACCCTCCTCCTCCCTCGTCCATGGCCGCCGCCCCGCCTCGCCCCGAGCTATCCAGCCCCATCTCGCCGGCCTCGCTGCTGCTTCAGAATCGAAGGAATTCCTGCCCTGCTCAACGAATCGAAGGAATCGAAGGAATTCCTGCCCTGGTGATGCGGATTGGATCTCGTTCCAGGTCCTGGATTTGCAGGATGTGCAGCTTGCTCGTGTGCGCGTCTGTCTCCCGGGCTAGAGGTCCCGACGACGACGAGCAATCGAGGATTTATCACGATCGTGACACCATGTCGTGGACATTCGACGGGCGTACATTCTTCCCTCGTCCCCGTCCTGGTCCTGCTTGCTTTTGCTATTTCTTCCCCAGCAAAACATCCCTGTTTGTCACCCGGTCGATCAATCGCGCGCGCACACGGAGTGTCGATCTGTTCGGTCTGCGATTCGAGCGTCGGGGTGACGGTGATTGCAAGTGCTCCTGCGTCTTCTCCTGCTCCTGCTGTTCTAAGTGAGCGCCTTCCTCGTTGCGCCTCTGCTGTCCCTACTAGTTCTCCTTCTGCGTATGCTTGCAGAACAAGACATCTGCCTTCGATTCTCCTCAGAAGATGCAAAAGGCACGCCGGCGCGACGGCCGACCATTTCCCACGCGCCTTCTCTGCGTGGTTTGTACAGCGAGGGACTCCTCCTCCCTCGTAAATTTTTTTTTCTGGAAGTTGACGAAAGTCCTCTCTAGTCGGTCACCACGAAAGCCCCCTTCGACCTGTCGGGACCTCCTCCGAGATTCCGATTCATTCGCCAGACTTCCTCCAAGGAAAAGCACGCTGCGATCCAGTGAGCCCCACTCGGCTCCACTCGCAACCAGATCCACGGTCCAATTCCCTCAGAACAAACAAAGCACTCATCCGCTCACTCTTGCGATCCCCTTCCTCTCGCTCCGTCGCTCTCCGCCGCGTCCGATTGCTTGACGACCGTATGAACCGCAATGCTCTCTCAACCTACAGACCAACCCGACTTGAATCTCTCCCGGCCCTCCCAGGAAGACGATACAAGAAATGAAAAACACAAAGGAAATTCGCGCCGAACCGATGAGGTCACGTCGATGTGTAGGACTGCGTCGAGCAGTTGTAGCATTCGCGGAGAGAATGGTAGAATTTCACAGACAGCGATGCAGAGTGCGCTGGGTGGAGGAGCGAGGGTTTGGAAGAGGGAAGGGAGCGGAGCGGCGGGGAACTCCTTCACTGCCTGATGCTGTGGCTGTTGTGTATCCGAGGGGGGTCACTCCGACATGAGGGGAAAGCGGAGGGGACGACTGAAACAGGACACGACAAGAGCAGAAGGCACAGAATGAAAGGGAAGGTACTCTGTCTGGTGGGGGCGCAACAACCGAAAGAAGTTTCTGGCCCAGCTCGGGAAACGAGCAGCAGTAGGAGGGGCAGCGCCTTCGTCAGGATAAATAAGCCACATGGTCTGGAGCAGCAGCGGCAGTAGCACCTCGCCCTTTTCTCTTGTTCGTCGTCCCGATAGATTAGGAGGGCGAAGGTCTTCGGAGACCAATCTCACCCGGAACTTCAACTTGTTTCTAGCGCGGCCAGAGCCAGAGCCAAAGCTAAAGCCTTGCCCAGCCAAGCCCTGCCACTCACTCACTCCACCACGAGCAGCAGCGCAGGGGCAAATTCTCAGCTCCAGCAGAAGAGTAGCACTGCCTCCCTCCTCCCTCTTCTCTCTACTCTGCCGCTACTCCTTGTACAGTATGAGCTCCCTGTACTCGAGTACTGACCCGCATTCATGAACTGGACTCTCCTGGGCCCTGGCTCAGCTCCCCTCGTCTCTGCTCTTCTTGTTGCGTGATGTCTGGGTCACAGAAGAGGCCGGGGAACTCCTTGAACTGGACCGGAGATGTTAGCGGTGGTGGGTCCAAGACTCCAATTCGTGCTCTCTCTCTCTCACACTCTTTCAATACTGTACGTACTCTTCTGTGTGCAGATGCGGACAACAGTGAACCTGAATGGAGCGAGCGAGCTAGCGAGGGAACGCATACATTCATTACTCATGCTTCTATTGCCGTACTTCATACCCTTTCCTTCCCTATGCATCTTTAGTCCTTCCTTCTTCAATCTCTTCCTTGACAGTGAATTCAGTCCAATGATGACCAAGAATTGGCAGGAGGATCCACCTAACTACAGTTGTACGGAGGTCACAGACCAGCTGAACACTTTGTTTCCATGTTAATCCTTAGACTATGGAATTCTCTCTTGCTGATTCTTCTCCAGTTGAATTCGATGCAAGAAATCCACTGGACGTATTATTAATCCGTATGCCGGAAGAAGAAGAAGAAGAAGAATAGGAGAAAAGATTACGTCAGAATCGCCAGAATCCGAGGCATTGCAGTTGCAGAGTGCGACACTGTAATATTGTTCCAGTCGTATAAAACACAGTACACCCTCACTATACTCACATCAGACGTACGTAGATACAGTGGGAAGTATGAAATCTACCATAGATTCGAAGAGGACGGACGTCAACAGATCTGCAGTTGTGGAGGGAGGGAGGGAGGGAGGGTGACCCAGCATCAATGGCAGGGGGCGTGAAGATGATCGTATCTCAGTACAGGTCTACTCTTGGGGTCAGTTAAAGAGTCAGGCAATCGAGACAGAACCACATGATAATCCGTCGTCATCCATCTGCGAATGGCTAGCCGACGAGGCAGCTTAGCCCACCGAAGACCGGACAATGGATTCTTCAGTCAGCGTTTCGTTGACAATTCGGTCTGCCGTCTCATTAATTAATTGGAGGGGGACCTTTCTATGCTGTGGAGTACGAAGGTTGCGAAACCCGGCGACTTTGTCTCAGCCCGAGCCCTCCGAGGGCGTCAAGGTGAGAAGGCCTTTTTCCCCTTTCCTTGCCTTTCCCAGCAAATTCTCAATTCTCACATCCTCCCCGGTCTGAGCTGGAGCAAATTTGAAGCCCCGACAACAACGACATGGTCTCGCACCCCTCCACAAGGGTGGGCGGTTGCGTTGCCTAGGACTTTTATCCAAACTAGGTAGAAAAAGCTGTGAGACTCGTGTCCGTGTGTGGAGAATGAGGACATGAGAGCAGTCGGTTGGGAGCTAGCACAGAAACTTGATCTGTTTGCATCCTGTGTGTTTGTCCTGACCGACGTGTTGGATCGGAGTGAATTGCTGGAAAAGTACAGCAGATTGCGAGCAGCAAAAGGAGGAGATCATGATGACAATCATGCTGAGGATTCCTCGTCCGCATCACTGGCCATTAAAAAAGCCAGACATGTTCCAACTGATGCGAACGGCCTCGACGGGTAGGCCCCTGTAGCCTCTGCATCTTTACCTTCCTTATATGCTTCCTTTCGAGGTCGGATTGACTTCTGTCAGGTCCCCATCTCCGTAGCCAGCCAGGATCGTTACGTCGTCAGTTGCGCCAGCGAACGACGCCGACAACTGCTCGTTTGCGTCTTCGGATCACATGAACCTTGGACGCGACGTGGAGATAGTAGATTGAGTTGAGGTACTAGATCAGTTTTTTGTTCATGCATTGTGAGAGCTATGCTTTGATAAATATGGAAAGTCAAAACCCAATTACACTTTAGATACTAACACAGAAACAAATGCATTAGTGCCATGCTGATAAGTGTTGGATCATTTTCTTGTTCATGCATTGTGAGAGATATGCTTTGAATAACATGATACAGAATTGGGCATTGGTGAATGCCCAATTCCACTTCAGATGATAACATAGAAAACAAATCCAGTAGTGTCATGTTGAGAAGTGTAGCAAGGATGCCTAACCCTTCCATTCCTATGTAGAGCTTCATGACTCACTCTGAATTTCTTCAAGATTTGTTTTCTCACATAGAATGTTCTAGGGATTGTGCTTCGCTTGTAAACATAGGTGCATCAATTAGGAGATGAAAGGATAAATTTTACTTGGTTCAAATACTCGCTCATGAAAAAGTATATCCATATTGCTAGATATTTAGTCGGAATGAAATTTATTCAAGATAGTTATTTCGTAATATATATCATATGCATAGATCTCCAAAGAACTGAGGAGAGTTGATGAAACTTTATCCATCTGTATCATTCATGTTGTAAGATGCAATCCACATTCCTCTTTATTTCTATGAACATGGATTTTACTCACAATCTACTCTATCGATTGTAAATTTTTCATGTGTGTTGATGTCTGCGTTAGATATGTTGTTATACATAAGCCCGAACACATTGGTATGTTTCTTATTATTTTCCTATCTTATATATATCTTCTGAGCTTGACAAAGAAGATATTGAAGTGTAAATTATTTATTTCATTCTTATTTAAATCCATTTTTTTCATGTGATGTATAACCTCTACAAAATACATGCCTATTCAAAAATTGTTGATTGAGGTGGTGAACTTTGACACACTTCCAATATAGCATCGACTTTTGATCTTGGAACATTGTTTATTGACATACAGTTATTCTCAGATCTGCTCATCAACTCATTTGTCCGATTGTGAATTATTTCATTGTTCACATCCAACCCCCGTTGTGTTTTATGAAGTTGATGATTAAGAAAATAACATCATTGTCTGGAGATCAATGTTCAGCATAACTTATTTGTAGATGTTGGTTTTTTATCACAATATAGTAACATTTGTGATAAAAAAAAAATTAGGAGGTCAATTTTTTTCTCTCGTCACTTAACTCTTATTCATAAGACGCAGATAGAGAAGTAAAGTCATGTTTTAAGTTTTCAGTTTCTCATCAAAACTTTGCAAGTACACAATAACATCATTAAAATGATCTTGTATCTCTATTTAATTGTCTTCTATCTTGAAGTTTATCATCTTTAATGATGTTTGACAACTCAAGTTTGATGACATTTTGGATGAATATATTCCAAAAAAGTAGAAAGTTGTTTTTATTCATCCAACTATTTGATTATATGAAGTTGTGAATATAACTCAACCTTATTAATAGATATCTCTTGCATGTCATCAATTTTTGTTTCATAACAAATCAGTTTTTGATTTCAGCAACATAAAAAATATTTAAGTTTTAATCATGATCTTCACTCATTATCTCTAACCTCATCACAAAAACTTACATCATATTATACGATATTGAATTGAATACATTTTTGACATTTCGTTATATTAATTTGCTCATGTGTTTATTCTACTACTTTAAACTTGAAATGAAAATTCAATATTTGAATTAGAATATTAAGAATAAACAAATTTTTCATATGCTTCATTAAATTTAAAGATTTTTTTGTGAACAAACTTCTAAGTTTTTCTGCAAATTTATCTTTGTGAATCCTTTTTTAGCCTATCTTTGCCTAAGTTTGAATGAATGTTGTGATGATCAAAAACTTGATACCAAATTTTGTTAGATTAGACATTAGATTGTCTAACTTTGGATGATTCTTGTAATGATATAAACATCTTTAGATAGTTACGTCTAAACCGGAGTTTATTCAAGAGAAAGTTAAATTTGATTTTAAGTGAAATTTCTATTGTTGTCTTCTCAATGATCCTTGTACTTGATAGGTAAAAATTAAATGTGTTAATTAATATTCACATGTCAACAATATGTGCTTGACAATTAAGAATTAAATGTATTAGTTAAAAGTTACATGTTAGTTATAAGTGATTGTTTAGTATATACACCATATCATCAATTGATTAGTAATGGAATGAAAGGTGATAATAAAGATTTTATCTTTTTCAATCAACTATGAATATTCATATAAAAAAGTAAAACCATTTTAATTATCTCTCAATTTCAAGTTTTGTATTTCATTTAAAAATGAGCTTTATCTATATTTTTAGCTCTACTTATGATTAATAAAGCGCTACTTATGAAACCAAATATTTTTTTCTGAACATTGAAATGTGTTGATACATATAAATATCAAATTGTTGTTTCATTAATACTCATATTTTTTTATAAAATGTTCAAATGTTGTTTGTTACAAATTAAAAATTGAAGTTTTTGGATGTTTTAACACTATCAATCATAAAATCAAGAAGTAATTCAATCATTTTTAAAAAAACATTAACTGTAAAATTTTAAATGTTAGCAATTTTTACTTGTTGCTTATCATTAAATCAAAAAATTATGATTTTTTATTTTTTAAATGACCTAGATTTTTCATGTTGTCTTTACGTTCAAGATTGAATAAAAATTATAATATCATGAAAATTTTCAAATTGTTTGTCGTTATGTAATA